GGATTTTATTATTTTTACTTTGAATATTGAAATTTTTATTATTATTTAATTTACATATTCCTGTAATTATCACTTATATCCAGTATGTATTTTTGCATTATCGATACCTTCTTTTAATGTGCATTAAAAAGTCGATTAACAGATTGAATTAATTTTCTTGGTAATTATCTATTTATATTCTAATCTACATAAATTATTAATATCATAAATGGCGTCGGTTAATTAATCATACTAATCATACTATTATTATAAATGCGAAAGTTTTTGATGGATGGATGTTTGAGTTTGTAGCCTAAACGGCTAAACGGATTTTGATGAAATTTGGTACAGATGTAGAGGATAGTCTGGAAGAACACATAAGCTACTCGCTTTTGTTTTTTGTAATCCACGCGGACGGAGTCGCGGGCAAAAGCTAATTATTACATATCCGTAACATGAATATCAAAATAAGCCATCTTTGAAATTAAATTTGAAAGTACACACGTCAAAAAGGGAATGCATTGACAAGTTGTAATAATTTGTAAATGAAATGTATCTTTGTAAAGTAAAATTTTGTTATTTTTTTAAACTAAAAAAATATTGTTTTTGCTGTTTTTTAAAAAAAACTTTTAACTCGATACATATCCGTGTTGAAATATCAACTTTTGCTAGTGGTCCCAATCTGTTTTTGGTGTTTGTACATTAATTCCGAGCACTTAAAAATTTAAAGATTTTGGAGTTTTTTTCAATATGCAAATAATGGATTAGTTGTTTATTCAACGTTTAAAGAGTAAAAAAACTACCGTGTGAACCTGTTATGCATATATGGACTATTTTTTTTAATCTCAAGACGTTTTTATGTAATAAATTGCTTTCTGATTTCAGTTGATCTGAACAATTGCTTGTGATCTATCGTTAATAATTTAGTACTTTTTTATCAATATCATATAGATTTATAAATGAAGAAATGTTTAATTCAAGGAAATAGTGTGTGTTAGTTGTGATGTTTTAAAAACAATTGACAACTCAACGATAATAGTAAGCTTTTTAATTTTCTAACACAAGACATTCTGAATTCTTAATTTGAATATTTCATAGATAAAATATAGATGTTATCTGTTTATCAACTGCCAGCATTTATTATATTTTCGCATAAATTTACATAATTGGTTCGAACATTTAAAAATAATTTTCATATCGATAGTGCAATTCGAAAATACACCTGATTGCATCATTTAACATCCAATTTGTTAGAAAATGAAATAATTTTGCGGAGTTCATTTTATTACATGACTAGCTGTTTCTCGCGACTTCGTTCACGTGGAATTAAAAGTAGTAAAACGATAATAGTAATTTAGTTTTCCAAAGGCGAAATAAATTTTCTAAATATTAGTAATAACTCTCCAGAAAAGATTTTGTCTTTTTGAAATTAATGATAATGTGTTTAATTTTTTACATGAAATAGGCATTAAAAAAATTGAAAACTGTTTTATGTCGAATTTAATGTTATAATTGACAAAATCGCTTTCCAAATACATCTAAATTCGGTTTTCCATGAATGTATGGATGTAACAATGCGGAAGTTGCGACCAGAGCATGTGATAAAATGAAATGATTAGTTGTTTGACCTTTCATAAATAATATTCTAGTCATATATTAAATACAAATTCTATAATTACTTAGTATTTTATTTGGTTATATAATATAAAAATTAGTATTGCATTGCAACCTCTTTGACATTGCACTGTTCATTTAATGGCCAGTTTTATCTGATCTTTTTTTATTAAAAAAATTCCATCGTCGAATACTAGAATCTTCATTGAAATATCTTTCCGGTGAGTAACTAATTTACTATCTACAGATATTTTAGTGACAAAAAATTACTACATATCGCCCGCGACTCCGTCCGCGGAGCATTAAAACTTATTTAGAAGCCTACGTGTTCTTCCGGAACGTGGTGAAGATCTATGCCTTTTATCGAAATCCGTTCAGCCGTTAAGAGGATAAGTTCTAGCAAATATCCATCCAAACATACAAAGTTTCGCATTTATAAATATTACTAGCTGTTCCCATGCGGCTTTATCCGCATGTAATTATAAAAAAATACATTGTTTACATTTATAAAATTCTCAAATGCAAATGTCAAAATACCAATTACCTTACCATGACAATCTTGCTTCCTTGATGTTGGCAGCTCGTAGCTTATGGTCTCTTTCCTACATAAGGGTTTTTACCAATTTATTTACCCCTAAGTTTAATAGCGTGAAAATATAACTAAAGCATGACATCAGTGTAGGGCTTTTTATTAAAAAAATAAATATTTAAAAATATGCTGTAATTGGTGACATCCTACGCCACAAAGAAGTGTGTGTTTACGCTTTATTATATTAGTATAGATATGGATAAGATAAGATGCTTCATAAACTGCCGAAATCACCATCATCATTATCAGCCTCAGGTCGTCCACGGCTGAACGTAGGTCTTGCGTAGGTCCCCAGTTATTGCAGAAATATCAAATAATTTATACAATTTGGCAATAAATTCATTCTGAATTTGCTGAGTTCTTTTGCTGAAACAATCTACAAACAGTAGCATCGGTCCTAAACTGGTTTTTTAGTCGAAACCGAAACAAAACTTCTGAAAACACAGCTAAGACAATTATGTGTTCAAGTTCAAGTTAAGTGTGTTTTTAACAATTTTGTGTATTTTAGGGTTTTAAAGCGTTGTAATTTACGTTCCATGTCCATGATATGAGGTTATTTTGTTGTTCGTAAAAAAATTACATTTATAATTAAAATTGACTCGCGACGACGCACGAAAATTAACCAACACTCCAGTTTCGGCAGGGCCTGAAGTTTCGGCTATGTTTTGGCCGTAACCGAAACTGAGGCCGAAACAAGATTATTACCCGAAACTGCCGCAAGCAAAATCGAAATCAAAACTTCTGTCCATCACTAACAGACCGCATATACGATTTGCAAGTGACAGAGCGGACGCACACTTTTTCTAAACTATCGCATAACTGTATGCGATTGTCGTTTGTTTCACAGCCAATTCAACTGTTTAGTTGGCCACCTTCCGCGAGCCTTATAGCTCATACATATGAAGCGAGAATAAACAATTGTGCGATTGTTCAGTCAGTATTAATAAATTTAAAATATAAATATATAGTTTCTATAATTAGCGCGTGCTATAAATAAAATTTTAATTGTATCACAATAATAAATATCAACAACATCTGTATTTTAATCGTTTTGAAGATTATTATTCTTCTATTAATATCACGAAGAGCAAATATGATGATTTTTATTTAATTGTTATATTAAGAATTACGAGTAGAGTTAAATATTTATGGTCTCATATAAGTTTGAAGTTTAAACTCGAGTAGAGTCAGTTTTATCTTATTTCACTGTTTACATTTGTCAAATTATCAATTACAAATGTCAAAATGACATGACATGATGACAACCTTGCTTCCTTGTTGTTGGCAGCAACTTATGGTCTCTTTTCCACATTAGGGTTTTATCTAAAATATTTACCCCCTAAGTTTAATGGCGTGAAAATATATAGTCTAAACACTCTTTAGTAAGTGTAGGGCTTTTTATTAAAAAAAAGACTTATTCAAAAATATGCTGTAATTGCTGACATCTTAGGCAATAAAGAAGTGTGTGTTTACGATTTATTATAATAGTATAGATAGATTAGCTTACGCCCGCGACTCCGTCTTCATCGAGATCCGTTCAGCATTTTGTTACAAATTCTAAGAAACATCCATCCAACTAAACTTTTACAGTTATAATATTTTGTAAGGTGTAAATGACTAAAGAGGAAATTTACTTTTTTTGGGGGCATTTATTTTGCTTGACATTTGTTCATCGAATTAGGTGTTCATAGTCAAGAACGTCGAGCCGGGAGAGAGAGGTGCTTCTATAGTTCGGTGCTCTCTCTCTCTCTCTCTCACTCTCTCTCTCTCTCTCTCTTAGTGCCTCTCCATTAATGGAGGTTGGCCGGCAATATTCGTAGATCGGTGCTATTCGAAATAAAAACCCACATGTGTATAGAAAATCCCGCCATGTAACATTGTGGCTTTCGAATTTCATATATTCATAATTTACCCGACGTTCTTACGGTGAAGTAAAACATAGTGATGCAACATACACATATCGACGAAGAAATTCAATAGATTGTGTGAAGTCAACCAACGCAAAATGGGTCAACATGGTTAGCTAATAGACGTGAGAACGCCGGGTATATTATGTACGAATGAAAATTCGAAAAATCGTAATTCACATCGGTACATGGCTGGATACGAACTCAAGACCTGTAGATTACAAGTCAATTGCTTAAACCACTGAGCCACCGACGATTATGATCATCGATGAACCTAAAATTGTGTCGTGTGTATTATGGCAGGCATGCCAGTGGCTCGCCAGTTCGCCAACCCTGGTATAAGTAATACGTAATTTAATATGTTGATTGTGTTTTGTAGGAAATCTCGATATTCTGGTTTTTGATACACCGCCAAATTATGTGAATAACACATTCACTGTTGACATTTACAAAATACAATATGTAGTTAATTAAAAAAAATAAAATAATAATTCAAAAACTTTATCATCAAAACACTTAAAAAGAAATAGTTACCTTTACCTTTTTTGCTTTTAAAAATATCAAGGTTTAAGGAAGTTTATTTTGCAAAATCTTTCACATTTTGATTTTTAAATCATTGCTTTACAACCAAAAACAAATAGGTTAATAGAACGGAACGATTTCCTCCAAACCTTCAAACCACCACTGAACTTGAAGGTTTTTTAAGGTCTTCATACTTGTACAAATAATGTCATCCCTTTTATATATAAAAAATAATACAAAAACAGAACACTGTTATAATTTAAGTTGGAATTTTTCGAGCATTTGTTCGGACGAGTAAAATCTAGACTTATTACTTTGCTACAACTTTTTTTGCGCTTTTGTTCATCTTGTCCAGTCTGTTGTCTTATATGTTAAATGTCTGGTTTCAGTGGAAGATTTCGTGGATCAACTTCTAAGCAAGGAAGCTGGAGAAACACCCTGTGACGTAAGAACAGCCAAAGATTTAGTACTAGTACTACCAAAATGGTTCAACGAAGAAAAATTCAATCAGTAAGTTGTAAACTTTTATGTTTAGCTTTATGATCGAACTCGCTTTATTCGGTCTCCTAATAAGATTATCCACTTTGCTCTGACCTTAAGACCTTCGTCGGAGAGTTTCAACTTAGAAGGTTTCAACCAGGTAGGAAATGTTGAACATTTCCTCATCTCTACGAAGGAATGTTCTTGCATGACTATACCATTGCAGCTTACTCTCCAATCTCTACACCATATTTTTTTTCTACTAACACGATCTGGGTAATTAAATAAACTCTATTACCTTACTTACTTATTGTTCTTTGTTCCCGAATTGGGGCAGAGGGCGTCCACAGTGCGCCGCCACCTCTTTCTATCCTGGGCTCTGCGTTTGTCGGGCCATAACAGCCCGATTGACTTCATATTGGCCACCACTGAACGCTTCAAAATTAACGAAGTCGTTTCCCACAGTCTAAGTCTAAGTTTCATGTCGTTCTAGTATAATATTATCTGTGTCTTTACTTATGGTAAACTATGTGAAATTATAAGTAAAGAATAAATCTTTTTATTCCAGGGCTCGTCGTTTCTATTGGCACAACTGCTACGGCTTGACCCTGGCGATGTTACTAGGATTAGTGAATGTGTTGGCCGTGCCCTCCATACTGAAGATCCTGCTGGGTGCTAGGCGATCGAACGACGTGTACCCAGCCTTCAAGCGGTACCTCTCCACCTTTCTACACGCAGTCTCCTGGTTTGAGACAGACCTCAAGCCAGGCAGCTAGTGAGTAAGAAGCTTTGAAGATTTATAAACTTTATTCGTCTATATTGATTCTAATCTATATTTATACTAATATTATAAAGAGGAAAGATCTGTATTTTTGTATGTATTGAAATAACTCAAAAACTACTGGGCCAATTTTAAAAATTCATTCACCATTAGAAAGGTAATTTATCTGTGAGTAGCATAGGCTATATTTTTTATTATTTTAAATTTCATGCGGGCGAAGTTGCGAGCAACAGCTAGTATTATATAAAAGGAAGTATTTATGTTTTTGGATTTTTGTATGTATAGAAATAACTCAAAAACTACTAGGCCGATTTCAAAAATTATTTCACCGTTAAAAATCAACGTTGTCAGTGAGTGACATGGGCTGTGTTTATTACCATTATTTTTAATTCGATGCGAAAGAAGTCGCGACCAACAGCTAGTTTATACTATTATGATACGGAGGAAAGATTTGTATTTTTGTATGTATTGAAATAACTCAAAAACTACTGGGCCGATTTCAATTCTTTCACCATTAAAAAGCTACGTTGTCAGTGAGTAACATAGGCTATATTTTCAATTATTTATTAATTCACGCGAGCGAAACCTTGTAATAAATAAAGAGAAACTGTTTATATTTCTTTTTTCCATATACACTCTCAAACTACTGGACATATATAAACTTCTTTTTTATTCCTTTATCAGTTCAAACGAGGTTCATTGATGAATTTTTTACTTGATTAAGAAAAAATCAAATACTTTTAAAGTGTTCGTAAAGCATTGTAAAGTTAAACGATTGCGTACATCGGCGGAGTTTATTTTGTTCTTACAACCCAAATCACGTCAGTGTATTGACGCATTTCGATTAACTAAAATGTCATCCCCACCATTTTACCACTAAAAGCGTACAAATGGAAACAATTTAAATATAACCATAAAATGATATTAAACAGTTCTGACGTCACGCCATTATAACCTTTAATTTCTATTTTAGTTCCTGGGAATCAGTTTATAAAGTTCGCAAACGTCATATTCTTATGACCAAAGCGGCGATGCTGAAGGGACACGGCATTATATGTCAAAGAGATCTAGCTCTGACGCTTTTTGGATTCGTTGGATTATCTTTTTTAAAACCAGATAAATTCGGCATAGAGACGTTAGAGGAAGATGACTGGGACGCTTATAATCAGTTTTGGCGAGTCATAGGATATATGATTGGCATCGAAGAGAGGTAAATATATTTTTAATTCTACGAATTTTACTAGCGTAGGTTAGGGCGACCACCCAGCGTACCGGACATATAGGGGCGCCACAAGCGTAAAAAAGGGCCATGGCCAGAGCGCCGGTAATGTTAAATCCAACCCTGGCTCAAGGTAAATTCAAAAGTTTAATTTCAATTTTAAAACAAAAGAACGGACGGATTAAAATTAAAATCAAGTAACATTTCATCCTTAATAATACTACAATACAATTATAAATAATGAAGTAATTAAATACAAATTAATCTATACTATTATAATATAATAAAGCGTAAACACAAACTACTTTGTGGCGTCGGATGTCTGCAATAATATCATGTTTTTGAATAATTCTTTTTTTTATTAAAAAAAAAACCCTATACTTACGACACGATTTAGACTATATATTTTTACGCTATTAAACTTAGGGGATAAATAAATCGGAGTAAACCACCATGTGGGAAAGGGACCATAAACTACAAGTTGCCAACATCAAGAAAGCCAGGTTGTCATTTATGCATTTGAATTCTGAAATTTGAGAAATGTAAAAAATAAAATATAACCTACATAATGTCATGCAGATGAAGTCATACGGGAATAGCTAGTACGTGACCAGCTGGTGTCCTCGCTCAGCTTTAAATGCTGGATGCTTGTAGATGAAGTACCCAGCGCTGATGGCGGCGAAAACCCTTTTGTAAAATATAGGACAAACGATTTAGTAATGATAATTTACTGTTCCAGATATAATATATGTCGAAGTAATGTCGAAGAGACGCGTCAAGTGTGCCGTTTAATATTGCACCGAGTGTACACTCCGTGTCTGAGTAATCCACCGGAGTACTTCGAGTACATGGCCCACATCATGCTGGAGGGGGTATCCTCCGCTAACCCCACAGTCAACACGCCCTCCCTACTCTACTGGACAAAGTACTTAGCGGAGGTGCCAGGGTACGTGTATACGGAAGGGGAGAGGATTCAATTCCAACAATTGTTGAGAAACAAATTGAACGGCAGATCGGAAGATACAGGTGAGAAAAGTCAGAACATACCTTTTGGTTATTTTTTTAATTAATCTTGATTCTTAATTTTTTTGTGTTTTACAAAATCTTGTTATTCTTCTCTCACGAAATAGATATAGACAGAAAAATACAATAAATAAAAATAAATAGTCTATCAAAGAAGAATGAAAACTTTTTCGTCCGACTTATTTGTGTAATGTAGTCTATAGCTGTTAAACTTGCTATATTTTTTCCACAGGCGTTGACTCTTCCACGTTAATGTCGAAGCCTTTTATTGAAAAAGCTAACAATCGTCTCCTGTTCGTAAGAGATTACGATTCCTTCGAAACAATACCAGAATACAGAGAGCTGTCGATGTTTTCTAGATTCAAGCTTTTGTTTAATTCGTTATTTACAAAAGTATACACCACATACTATGGTCGAAGATTTTTAAACACAACATTTCTGTTTATTATTAAGTTAATGAAGGAACATCCGAAAATAATTTTTTTTATGTTGCACATAAAGGTATCAGCGAGATATCTATTTAATTTCCCCTTAGACAATTCAGGTTTGAAACCTAATTCCGCATTTAATAAAACAACAAAATCACCTTGGTACAAAACTATTTTATCGTATTTGTACCCGAAAAAAATTAACAAGAAAGGCCAAGGACATGATCGTTGACTTTCATGTTTTTTTTTTAATAAATGCTACTTTTATTTATTTTGACTGTTTATTAATTGTTTATGTCATAATTGAGATCGTCCTTGCAAATCTGAGATCACAGATAATTATTTCTCATATTACACTATATCTGATTTATTAAAAGTTTTCATATTGATTTAATTAAATTATCAATACATCCGCGTTCCGTAACCGACACACGAGCAAATTAGCATTACCATAGACATTAAGTTATTAAAACTTTCGTGAGACATTATAGTATATAAATTATAACACGACTACGTGCCTACACCGAATGTTACCACGTGAGTTTAGCCGTGTTATAATATGTAGTACCATAGACATCTCAAGTAGCGCATACGTTGTTGTCTTTTAATCGACAGAGGGGATATGCAGACAGATATCTTGGCAATCTATTAAAATTGCAAGATAGTTTTAATCTTAAGTAGATAATACAAAACTTATAAACACAATATCTACGCTAGTTCATCTAGTTTTTTTCGACAAAACTTGCCTGTTTATTAAATTTAAGGTACTTCGCTTGTAGTCCATTTTAAATTAAATATATGTAAGCTACTAGAGGATTATTTACAACCGTCACCCCGCTCTGTCCCCACGTGAGAATGAAAAGTTTCATCCGTCCCACCTTTTAGGCCCACTATCACCAATAAGGTTACAGATGGAACTGATATGAAATAAAATAAGTTCCAGCGTCCTCTCGTCGCAAAAGTTGGGACGGATCAAACTTTTTATTCTCATCTGTTCCTACTTGGGGACAGAGCGGGGTAACGGTTGGGAATAATCCCAGTTTTTTTCTACTATAATGTTATGCAACGTATTTTTTAAAGCCGTTGCCAGGAGACCCTGCCTTGCTGAGGATCAAAAAACATAATCTATAGATACATGTAATAAAATTGTAGTGTCTGTAATGTTAAAAGAAAAATTCCATATTTAAGGAAGATGATGTATTTGCGTTGCTGATAACGACAATCGTATTTTTTTTGTCTGATTGTCTGTCCACAAGCCGAGTTTGTTCCGGGTAATCTCCGATACGGCTGTGCCGATTTCGATCAGACTTTCACTGAAAGGTAGCTGACATAGACGGGCATATTATAGGTTACTTTTTATCTTATTTTTACGTGGACGAAGTCGCAAGCAGCTATTATAGATATAAAAACTTACTATAAATAAATACTAATCGAAGCAGGCCTAGACGTAAGTCTAGACTAGGTAGCTATAATATCTAGGTAGCTACAACGTCTAGATTAGTGTATAGTATTAAACTTTATATAAAGTGGTCAATAAATGTTCCTTAGTTGATAAAATTTGAAATGTAAATATAACTTAAGATTGTAACCGTACGTTTTCATGGTAGAAGCACATTTACATTAATAAAAGTAAAATTAATTGTATTTAGCAATAAATGTTATATTCTTCAATTGTAAACGAAAGAGATTGGCTTCTGAAACACAAGACTCAGTTCTATTTCAGGAAACAAAGCGCATACAAAGTTATGTAAATATATACAACAATAAAGTGTTTATTTACTTATTCATTAAAGTATAAGCCTTTTTTACGAATTTTGCAGAATTAAAACAATGGAAACTAACGGTTATATTATTTTTAATGCAAACGGAATACTCATAGCATATAATCAGCCCGTGGTCGTTGCGTCTACAAAGGCTGCATATTCTATCAACAATATTCTTCACCCATCTTCTAATATAGCTTAAAGATATAATAAATAAATGCAATAATAAGCGTAGTTTTATTTTATTATCTTTAAACGATGACAGAAGCTGATAAGATAATAAAGACAGTAACCGAGGGCCTAATTTTAGTCCCTTTCCCTTTCCACCCTTTTCTTAAGAGGAAATGATGGGTATTCCTTACCGTGGAGGAGACGCAAAGAAAGGGGAAATGTTCACTTTATGTGCGTCTCCTCCACCGTCAATCAAGAGTAGGCAACGCATCTACAATTGCGGATGTTTATGGGCAGCGGACGCTTTCCATTTCAGTCGATTCAGGTGGCCGCTTGCTCGTTTGCCACCTTATGTTATAAATTAAAGATAAGAGTAACTAAAAAAACATCTATTTTCCTATCATTGAACATAGTTACCATAGTTAACATAGTTAGTTTGGTTTAAAAAATCTAGCCTGCCTTATTTTTTTTTTACATATAAGGCATCCGTTAAAATCTTTTTTCGCGTATTAAATTCAAGTATAATTGCAACTTTTAATATTTGCTGACTTTTACAAACTTCAATAAACAAAGGCCACACTGTTTACACATGTTTGTAATCATAATCAACATAAATCATAATTAAAATATCAATTCTCAGTACAAATACACCTACTTTATAACTTATCACCTTAATTAGGCATTACGTGTACATTTGTAATCAGATTTTGACATATTTATTTATCAACGAACATAATAAACAGTTATATAAATGCTTTTTTCTCTAGACACATATGATATTTTTTAGGTTACTTAAAAACAATTTATGAAACAGCGACATCTATTATATTTTATTAAAACTAAAATTATCTACATATATATTATAATAAAGCGTAAACACACACTTCTTTGTTGCTTAAGATGTCAGCAATTACAGCAATTTTTGAATAATCTATTTTTTTAATAAAACGCCCTGTAGGGTCGTCGCCGTGTAAATATATAGCCTAAAGCGGGACGTAAGTACACTATATATTTACACGCCATTTAACTTAGGGGGTAAATATTTTGGATAAAAACCCTAATGTGGGAAAGAGATCATAAGTTGCTGCCAACATCAAGGAAGCAAGGTTGCCATGGTTTGTCATCGTCATGTTATTTTGACATTTGCAATTGATAACACGACACATGTAAGCAATACAATAACATTTTCATAATTTTATGCGGATGAAGTCGCACGGTAACAGCTAGTCTGTAATAAATAGAGCCGTTATTGTGAAGGAAGTGAAGCCAGTGAATGGAAGAGCAGCTGGCATGCCAGCTACTACAAGGTGCCACTGGCACTATACAGTAATACATGCCAGTAAAATCGGAATCGTAAGAGACGAGTCGTGACAAGTTTCATACCACTTTCCCCTTCAGACTCTGAAGGCGAAAGGTGGTATGAAATGGAACTTCAGACTTTTTAACTGAACTATCGCACAACTATAGTCTCGCTTTGATTCCTATTGTTAGGAACAAAATTAGTACTGTGCTGTAGAATTGACGCAACTCTAGATTATCGGCATAAATGTCACGTCCCTAGCTGACAGCTGTCAATGTCACTAGAAGTATGGATAGATTGGCGCGCAACTTGGCCCTGGCGAAAAGTGTTGCTCTAAGTTTAATGCGACAGTATTAATTAAATAAGTTGTCTAAAACTATGAACTTATATGGAGGTGCGCACACTGCTCTATTTTTAGGTACAACTGGAAGTTAGAAGGCCTGCGAAACAATGGACAATCGCGCAACAGTTCTACGATAGTTTAGCCCGCTTTTAGAATATTTTTATAAAAAATTATAGATAATACAATAATAAGAAGGGTTTCTAATTGCTTTTAATAGATGGACGATTTAAAAATAATGACATATAATGTGTTTTACGTAACATAAGTTGTATAGCTATTAACTGCACGTTAACATAATTATACTCCGTTACTGTACTTAGTTTTCAAATAACCTTTTATACAGTTAACTTACATCGTCATTGTACACGGACGGATGATAAAATCTTTACTCATCTAACTTAAATGGTAAATAACAGGAAGTGTTAAGAAGAAAATTGGTAGTCCGCTGGACAACGGGGCAACACTATATCATCAGCAGATACGTTCGTCCCTTTGACATCTGTCAATTGAGAAATAATCGCGCCATTTTAGCGGGAGTTAATGATTTCAATGTTGAAGTTAAATACGCTGTTAATTCATTTCTAAAATAAGTTAAAAGTCATATGCGAAAATATATAGCTGTTACAGTAATATTCAAAATTAGTTATAGAGTAGACATTACGAGCACTTTCCTTCAAATCATAATTAAATGAGAAAGTTTTGATGGATTGTTAGAATTTGTAGCCTAAAGTACTGAACGAATCCCGATGATATTTGGCCCAGATGTATAACAGTCTGGAATAACACATACGTTATTTACATAAGATTTTTAATTCTGCGCGGACGGAGTCACGGGCGAAAGCTGGTGATTCAAAAACGTCTCATTAGTATATCACAAGTGTCAAACTAGAGAAACAAAACACTACAGTGGTAGAGTTTTTGAGCGCATTCTTTGTAATGTCCGGTCTTTTGTATGTATGCCAAATGTTTACTGTAATATGAATTGGGATATTAAGTTTCAAATAAGAAAGTCCATGATCGCTTCATATCGTATCGTAATCCTAGTACTGCCGCATACCGTTAGAACGCCAAATGCCAATACGGTTATACTGAAATCGAAAATGACAGACTAAAAAACGCGGTATTTTGTGCCTATTTAAATCTTATCATATTGCCGCTGAAAGTGGTTAGCGATGCTGAGGATTCCAACTAATAATAAAAATAAAATTAACTTTAATTTAACATCAATAGGCAAGTTATAGTCGGTACGAAGCAAAACCTGTCATTCCCAAGCAATGTCCTATGCATTTACATTTAAACAGATCAGAGGGTCTATTACTAATATTAGCGTGACAGTTGTGAGATTATATCGTAGGGTTATCGACAAAGTATGAGATAAGTTGGTGTACTTTACGCCCGGTAGAAGCGCAGCACCAATATCGAAAGCGTTACAAAAATATCTCACGAGTAATCGTTATAAGCCCTCACTGCCGAGCTGTCACTGTGAAGTAACGGAAAACGCGGAGTGGGGAGCGGGCGAATAGTGCGTATTCGCGCGCCGCTACGATTGGATGTTTGTTGACGTTTTACCTTATTATTTTATCTTATTAGTGGTGTTTGTAAGTTTTTTCATCATTCCCATCCAAGACAGAATCTAATCATGGATTTAAGCGGTAAGTTAACAACAATTATATAACGTTTTTCAGACACAATAACCGGAATCTTGACATTACAAAAATTCCTGTATATAAAGAAAGAGACAGCTATAGGTTTCGAATTGACTTATAGAGATGTAATGTAATACTTATGTCGTTAGGAACTAGGACGTAAATCAAAGAGTTTTTAGGAACTTTCTCTACGACGTTGTACATCATAATAATGTCAAATCAGCAAACATTCATCTATTTATGTTTACATTTAGCTGCCAATATATTCTTTATGTTTCAAATATTTAAAAAAATACACTTTTATTTTTAATTACCGAAAAAAGATACCTTTTATAATATTACTCCTAAGATTATAAACGCATGAAAATAATAATACATCGGTAAAAACACAATGTAGTTGTTGCCCGCAACTTTTTTTATTCTTATTTACCCGTCTACAACATTTTGTAATTGAATTCTGTGAATTATAATTTTGTAGTATGTTTTTAATTTACATTATTGTTTTAATTTTAGATCCAAACAAGTTTTTAGTTTTATTAGCAACCATATAATGTTACCATGTCATCCGATATTGTAAACAAAAGTATAACCTTGAAACTAGGGTTGTCACTTTAGGTTTGCATAGTGCAGATAGGCTACGTGTTTGGCGTTAATCTCAAAGTGACTTGTTTTTTATTGTCGTCGTCCAGTGAGAATAGGTCGTCTTTTGGGTCACATATTCTGGTCACTTTAGCAGTTCAGTTATAAGATTTTAAATCAATACAGATTTATTTATGTGTCTACGTTTATGTCCAAATTGTGTTAACATAATTAATAGAAATATCGTAATAATCGAGAAAAGGATAGTTTATATTTATTTGTCCCAAATAGGGTTGGCAACAGTCAATCCGACCCGTAGAAATCAAGCCAAAACTTTCAGGTTTATAAAACCTTGTGCGCCGACCCTAACTGATAAGGCCAAGAGGATGATGAAGTATTTTTTGCGAAGGATTAAAATGACATGAGCTTACCTGATTGTTAGGGGTGTGAAACATTTTACAATGCCTTGATAATGTATGAAATAACAAACAAAAGATAAAAAAACTATAAATAATAATAAAAAATATACAATATCATTTGAATGACACAAACATAAAAAACAGAGGATCATAATATTTCAGATTTTATTTTTCCGTTGTTAATTTCTTGAATACAATAATGATGTTGTTTGTAGATATTTTTATATATTGTTATGTAGATATTTATGTGGAAATCGCCTTTATTTTTTTCATTCTGCGTATATGGCTAAAAAAAATTACATGTAACACATCGCCTTTATTTCCGTGAACCTCCGTAGTTATACATTTTGATGTGAACTTTCCTTTTCAAGATTTTTTCCGAAGCTCCAGTTACAATGTTTTCCTTGTTTCTGTACTGAATATGGGCATATCACGTGCACGGGGTAAAACATAACCAACAATCCAAATAAAAAATCCCCGTTCTTATCCTACTTCCGTATGGTCAACGAAACAGGTTTTCGTCCTAATAAATGAAATTATTTTTTATTATTTATTTACTATATGTTAATCTATCTTCCGTCATTTCTGTCGGCGCTTTCTTGTTCATGCGACCTTTCACGCAATCTATCCCTCTCTTTCTAAGTCCAACTATACCGATGTACCTCTACACTCATAACAAAAGTTCTTCTTACAAGCAGAGTATGTAAAATGCTGGCTGTTACTCGCGTTTTCGTCAGCGTAAAATTATAAAATAATACTCTTCTTCAATCTTTTATCTGCACCTGTGAAACATCCTGTATATCCTAACTCAATATGGTAACACCAATTGCAGGAAGTAATTACGTGCACCGTAGTTGTGTCGGTTGAAATGGATCGTATAATTACGTGCTAGGATTGTGCTGTGCATATCCGATAGAAATGTCACTCGTCATTTCATTTAATAGATTTATGTGACCATTTAAATTTAATTATGTGTTGGCAATTGTTTTATGAAGTACTAGCTTTTACCCGCGATTCCATCTGCGCGGAATTAAAAAAAAACAAATGCAAGTGGCCTGCGTTCTTCCCGACACTATATTTCATGGAAATCTGTTCAGCCGTTTAGACTACAAACAAAGATCCATCCATCTAAACTTTCGCATTTATAATATTGTTTTATGAAGTATATACGTGCATCGCCCCGAAGACTTAGGCTAGGTATAGATACAATTACCATTAATATCGTATGATTCGAAATAGTTTTTATATCTATTTTATATTTTTGATTATCTTACGACGCCCATGAAATAAGAAATTCTTCATTTTCAGTTGAAGAATTCGTGGATGGTCTTCTAACGAAGGACGCAGCCGAACAGTCTTCGGACACAGAGAAGACAGAAGATATACGCATGGATTACCCAGAATGGTACAGCGAAAAGAAATACAATCAGTAAGTTTCCCTGCAAGCGGTGTTACCCCAAACTATGACCTAAATTTCCCCACCAAAAAAGAGTCTTGGCTGCACTGCATAAGTGCTTGTTTTCACTTAGCGGGTAGACTTTGGCAGAGCTATCATGTTAAGCTGCAGCTCTACTGGCAATACTACATACTTCTACATATAAAAGACTAAATGTTTGGTCGCGAATTCGCCCGCGTTACATTAAAAAAATGATAATAAAGATACCCTATGTTTCTCACTGATAACGTAGCTTTTTAATAGTGAGGGAATTTTTGAATCAACCCAGTAGTTTTTGAGTATTTTCAACAGATAGAAAAATACAAATATATCATCTTTATAATATTAGTATAGAAGACATCATGTTTATTATCTAAGTAACAATTGTCACTAATTCCTCACACAGAGGGCGCCGCTTCTTCTGGGACAACTGCTTCTCGCTGATGTCATCGATGTTGTTAGGCCTGGTGGCGGTATTCGCTGTGCCTTCAATCTTGCGGGTGCTCATCAGCTCGCGCCGCTCCAACTCACAATATACTGCCTACAAGCGATACCTGTCTACTCTACTGCATACCGTCTCCTGGTTCGAGAACGATCTGAAACCCGGCAGCATGTAGGTATAATATACTCTATGTCTTGTTGAAACCAAAGATTAAAAACCTACCACAGGCAAACAGAACATTTTTACACTACAATTTCATTTTTTCTCTTTTTCTCCAATACCTAGATATTCCTCTGTTTAAATATTTTAAGTGTTCAATTGTAGAGTTATAAATCGTAAAAATATCACGTAACTTCGTGGTGCATGCTATCCAAGAGAAAGGCACTTCTAATAACTATTTTTCTGTATCTTCAGATCTTGGCAATCATTATACACGGTGAGATGTCGTCATTCGCGCGCCGACGTCGCCGCAAAGATGAAGGGCATAGGTAGAGTCTCACAGCGGGATATGGCGCTCACGCAGTTCGGTTTTATCGGCTTTTCAATACTTAAGCCGGATAAATTTAGTATCAGACCGATGCAATCGGAAGACTGGGAAGGCTACGTTCATTTCTGGAGGGTTATCGGAAGTATGATTGGTTTACAAGATCGGTAAGGCGGCATTTTTTATTTATAAAAAAACGCAAAAATATAGCCAAGGTTATAGGTATATAGTTTTTTTGCAATTTGCAATGCCTTATATTAAAAACTAGTTGTTCGCTACTTCGTCCACGTGAAATTAATTAATGATGAAAAATGTAGATTATGTTACTCTTTGATAGCGTAGCTTTTTATTGGTAAAAGATTTTTTTTAAATCAGCCCAGTAGTTTTTGAGTTATACCAATATACACAATATCCAAGAAGACAAATCTTTCCTCTTTATAATATTGGTATAGATAATTTTTGGATACAGGTACAATATCTGCCGTAAAAACTACCAAGAGACAAAACAGGTATGCCAACTATTATTAGAGCGGGTTTTCACGCCATCGTTGGACCACGTGCCGGAGTACTTCGAGCACATGGCGCGGGTCATGTTGGAGGGGATGTGGTCGATCAACCCGACTGTCAACACATCCGCATTGTTGTACTGGACCCGGCATTTAGCAGATGTACCAGGCTATGTATACACTGAGAAGGAGAGAGCGGACTTTCAAGACAAATTACGGGAACAATTAAAGGGAAAATCTGAAGATATTGGTGAGTTGTACTAATTTTATTCAATTGTTCATAGCTAGAAAATAAAACGAACCACAAACTTTTTTTTTTATAACATAAGGTGGCAAACGAGCAAGCGGCCACCTGAATCCGCCAAAAAGGCGAAGCGACTGCTGCCCATAGACATACGCGAATGCAGATGCGTTGCCTTCCCTTATCCGACGGAGGAGGAAACGCACATAAAGAGGACATTGCCCTTTCCTATGCATCTCCTCCACCGTCAAATCCACTTCCCCTTCCCATCCTCTCCTTATAAGAAAAGGGTGGTAAAGAGAAAGGGACTTAAATTAGGCCTCCGGCACCACACTCATCAGACGAAACACGGAATTGCTTCCATTTCACGCCTGCCTTCTGTGTGGTCGTGGTATTACTGGGGGCGTGCCGGCCCTGCAGTGCTAAGATGTTAAAGCGGGCACTACCACTGTTAACTAACTAAACATAACCTAACTTTTCGCCAGTGACATGTCAAATAATTGTATTTTCATTCCAAAATAATTTGAATTACATCTCTAATTACTATTAATGACAGGTTTCCCAGCTACGTTTAACGGGTTTTGGGTTGCTAACAACATGAAATGTGTTTCCGAACTACGTAAATTGAGTTTTATACTCCGTTGCAACATAGTCAGCATAACACTAAAGAATCACTAGGTAACGATGTAATGGAATCTTCAGAAACATAGCTTAAATAGGCAACGAGACAAAAAAAACAATAATACACCACTTAAAATCATAGCCTAATTAGATAAGATCGCACTTTTAAAAAGCGCGCTAAAACCTTATAGGCTAATTGGGTATTTAAAAAAAATGTACGTACCATAAATAATACAAATGTCTTTCTATCTAGATCATTGAGGTTATCATGGCAAGCAACATAATGAAAAGGTCAATAGAACTATAGACAAATATCTTCTAACCACAATTACAACTACTATTATTAAACTGTTATTAAATAATTATCTTATATTACATGATAAGTGTTTTATCATATTTTATTATCTTCATAACTACGATAAGTCAATAAGAACCACTTTTGTTCATAAACATACATTTTTGATCTGTGTTGTATATGGCATTTTTTTTTTAATTCCAGGCATAGATTCAACAGTATTTACTTCTCGGCCATCTATAGAAGGAATAAACGAGCGACCTCCTCGATTATTATATTTACGGGACTACGATACCATCGAAACAATCCCAGAATACAAAAACCTACCTTTCGCAGCGAAATACAAACTTGCAGTCAGCAGCATTTTATATGCATTCTATTCAACGTACATCGGAAAATTGTATTTAAATTTAAACTTCCTCTTTAGTTTAATACTTATGAAATATTTCCCGTATTTAGCCTTCTTTAGATTCGGTATAAAATCGTCTTTTGTTAATATATTTGTTGAAGATCCTGTCGATAATACGGAACCGAAACCTAACGCGGAGTATAACAAACCACCACCAGAATTGCCCTGGTACAAAGAAACATTATCTGTTTTGACATGGTGATTAATTGTTGCCATGTAAAAAAACTGCCAATCAGAGTTAATTGGTGTCCAGAAGACAGTGCAGATATAATGCTTCTTAGATTCTATAATTTTAGAACAAAAATACCGTAATACGTATTATCTTTATTTATTATTAATTTCCTAGGCATTTATTTTAATCTGTATTTAGGCGAAATCATAGTGACGTTTAGGAATTGTTGCTATTTACAAAAACCTAATTTATACTTTATGGTAGTGTGAATAAGTATTATATTTCGTTGTTACGTAGTTCCATATATTTGTAAAAAAAGAATTTATTAACTACTTAGATGTAAGTTTTTTGGCATATCAATAAATACTCGGAGAAAAAAAAACATTTCGTTTAAGTAAATAAGATTCTCGTAATGAAATTGATGGTTGCCATATTCTAAAGTTGACCTAGACATCTATTAGGTCGCTGTATTCAATTAGAAGTCAAGATCAAATATCAGTACCGGTTTTAGTGCTATTAATATCTCCCTGTGCTGTGCGATTTCTACGGCGCTGCCATTTTATCAAGTTTTGTAGGAGGAGACTAACAGACTATTTCGAGCCATAGGCTAGCAACAGGCTTAGACACATAGACTATGCCGAACAAAGATTATTCACTTATATACTTAGCACTTGTCAACAAATATGCGACTAGTTTCGTCTTGTACTAAAGTAATTAAAAATAGTATTTTATTTATTTGACAATTTAAAGTATGTAAAATATTGCATAAACTTTTTTTATTAACCTGAAATTGTCATCACGTGACCCTACATTTTTTATAAGAAGCAAATTATTGTATGTGATAATAAATTTATTGTTATAAACGCCTTGTTTTATTCCAACCTTTTCTTTATATACCATTATTGTCCCTAAAACGTAGGTAAATAAAATACCACAATAGTATTAAAATTTATTTAAAATACAAATCAGCTTGTATTAAAAAAGTCTTGGGCTTTTAATCTTATTCGTTTAGCTACATTTATTTGTAGCAAATTATCTGTGAGCGTATCATTTCTGGCAACACTGTCGCTGTCAGTTGCCGGTGTTGCTAGTTTCTTTGCGTTCGGTGTTACCAGTGGCGTCCTGTTCGGTGTGGGAGTTCTCTTTGGCGTAGTACTATGTGCTAATATGCCCATATCATTAGGCGTTAATTTCAATCTAGGTGATAAAAGATGTTTAGCTGCGAGTTTTCTAGCCGCCGGTGACATACTAGCTAAGCGTTCTGTGTTCGTCCGGAAACTGGAATAGAATGAAAATTGTTTTATGATATTAATTTAATCTAAAGTACTTCTAATATACCCTAATCCTGCGGTTTATGTTTTTACCAAATAAAAGTTTCTTCTAAGAATAAACCGATTTCATATTATATTATTGGATGAGGTTCAGTGGCGCAAAGGTTGAGTTGAAACACGTCCAAGTTCGATCCCTGCTATATACCAATGAAAATTTCATGTTTCCATTTACACATTCTTCCGATTTCCTTTGAAAACATCGTAATACCCGTGTCATAAATGTAAAGCGAAAGTTTTGATGGATGGGTGGAAGATTTTTTGTCACGTTATATCTACAGATTGGCTCAACAAATATCTATGAAATTTGTCACAGATGTAGAATATAATCTGGAAGGACACATAGCCTAATTAATATTCTGTTTTTTTTTTCGTACACAATGAGTTGCGGGTAGATAAAAATAGTTGTAATGTAATGCAGTACTAAGTTACCTCGGTGTGTGCGGTGTGAGTCGCGGCGTGGTAGGCCTGCGACGGCGCGCGGCGCGCTCCGAGCGCTAGCCGCTCGCGCGCCCCGCCCTCCAGCATGCGGTACGCCGCGCCCGCGCCCACACTGACACATTTTTTTATATCATAAGTTGGCACACGAGAAACCGGCCCCCTGAATCCACCAAAAAGGCGAATTGACCGCTGCCCTCAGACATCCGCAATTGCAGATGCGTTGCCTTCCCCTTCCTATGTATATCCTCCACCGTCAAATCCACTTCCCCTTCCCGTCTCTCCTTATAAGAAAAGGGTGGTAAAGAGTAAGGGACTTAAATTAGGCTATTGTATTCACTGTGCCAGCTGATTGTCAGTTATTGCGCGCTACTGGCCAAGTGTGAACCGCGCATACGATAACATTGCATGGGCGTCCTCGGAGAGGGCAAAGGTGGCTACCCCCCATACCTTTTCTAGATCATCGGTGACCATTCAACAGGCGAAAAGAGCTAGCAAATTAACATTAAAGATAATTTCATTCACTATGAAATTAGGTCTATTCCTAACCCGAAACACATTCCGAAAACGAATTTAACAATTGTAGATTCCGCTTTAACATCTTATTACCATCGGAATCTCGACTACACAGAAAACAGGGTTGATGTGGAAGCAATGCCGTGTTTCGTAAAGAGTATGCGTGCTGGAGGCCTAACTTTAGATCCTTTCCCTTCCCATCTTTTACATAAAAGGATTGTTGGTGGAAGGGGAAAATATCCTCTTGCGCGCTCGTCGCCACATCCAAGATGAACCTCGCCTTTTCGGCTAATTGAGGTGTCCGCTCGTTCGTATTCTAATAATATAAATGCGAAAGTTTAGATGGATGGATGTTTGTTAGAGTTTGTAGCCTAAACGGCTGATTTTCGATGAAATTCGGCATAGATGTAGAGGATAGTCTGGAAGAACACATAGCCTACTCACTTGTGTTTCTTTTTAATTCCACGCTGGAGAAAGCTGTACTTTAACAAATACTAAGTTTAAAGTAAATTTAAATGTACTCACGCCGGTAAGGGCGTGTCCCCTCCATCGAGTCGGAAGGGCGTGCCTTCAATCTCCCCCCAGGTCATGAGGGGCGAGCAGTCGGGGGCGGCGCCGGGCCGCGGCGAGGGCGTGCCCACGTACCCGAACTCGCACGACTTCTCCGCAGACAGACTCACGCCGTCCACACCTATCTTACCTGATATACTCGCGTCCTGAAATATTTATTTCTATAAGTTCGTGTCTAATCACAAAATAAGTAAAAAGGTGAATAATTTGTAACATGTATAATAAATCAACTTGCCCTCATCCTTACGGAGGGTCTACACTAATATTATAAACAGGAAAGATTTGTATTTCCATATGTATTAAAATAACTCAAAAACTACTGGGCCGATTTCAAACATTCTTTCACCATTAGAAGGGTAATTTATCTGTGAGTAACATAGTGTACATTTTTTAATCTACGCGCAAAGACGCGAGCAACTGTTAGTTTGATATAAAATAATATTTTCTTTATTTACTTGCAACCAATTATTTATGACTTGCTATTGCTCACGATCCAGTCTACGTTGTATTAAAAAAAAATATAAAATATAGCCTATGTTATTTACTGATGACGTAGATTTTAGTAGTAAAAAAAATTTGAAATTGGCCCAGTAGTTGTTGAGATATTTCCATGCATACAAAAATCCAAAAATACAAATTGTTCCTCTACATAATATATGTAAGTACAGATTACCTGAGTTTTAGCAATAGCAGTGATTGCTTCTTTATTCTTAATATGGTCGAAGGGCGGAGCTCTAAGCCTCGTGTTGACGTGTTGCAGCTCGGGCTTCGGCGGCGGCCTCTGGGACTCCGCCCCCGACGGCACGTACATTATGTAGTTCTTCGCTTTATACTTCCATGTATCTAACTGAAACAAAATTCACATAAGATGATTTACTTAGAATTAACTGATTTTCTTTTAAAAATTACATGGCTGGCTACGATTCGGCCCTAAATGCGATTAGAGACAACTTTGGGAAAACAATTTTTCTCGTTCTAACCAATTAACATTCGAGCTATTTACTAATTAAAAAAATGTCAACAGGAAACAAATGTGGAATTAGAGAAGATGCTCCAAAATTACTAATATTATAAATGCGAAAGTTTAGATTGATGGATGGATGGATGGATGGATGTTTGTTAGCGTTTGTAGCCTAAACGGATCTCCATGAAATTTGGCACAGGTTTACAGCATAGTCTGGAAGAACACATAGGGTACTTTTTATCCCTGGAATAGTTACGGTTCCCGTGGGATTCATTAATTTAGTTTTTTAATGTTTACTCGATCATTCTGCAACGTTTCAACATATCTTATTGAAATTTGGCACAGATATAAAACAAAGTCTAGAGTACACATGAGATAAGCTTCATCCCCGAGAAATGTCCGGTTCCCGATGGATACGTAGCTTTTTGTCTATTATAAATGCGAAAATTTAGATGGATGGATGTTTGTTAGAAGGTATCTCCTAAATCTACGACATTTAGCACAGATATAGAACATAGTTTGAAAGAACACAGGCAATTACGTTTGTTTTTTTTTTCAAATTCCATATGAATGCAGTCACAAGCAAAAGCTAACAAATTAAAAAAAATGCACTATAAAATAATTGCTCAATTACCTCATGAGGTCTTTCCATCTGATCCGCTTGTTGTTCAATAGATGGCAGCGCCAGTACTGCGTCAGCCAATATGGCCGACTTCACCTCCGCTTCAAACTGTGACGCTAACTTCGTAGCGCGTTTTTTATCTTCTAACGCTATAACGCGATCGTAACTAGCGTTATCTTCACTAGTATGTTTCGCTAAAAAAGAATCTGTAACCAAAAACAGTATTAAAAACAAAATAAAAAAAACTTAAAACGATGGTTTTGTTATTATAGTTAGCTTTTCTTACTTCGTCGCTTTTTAATGGTGCCAGAATATTTAAAAGCGGCCAAGTAGTTTCTGAGTTATTATAATACATACAAAAATACAAATATTTCCTCTTTATATTAATATAGTAGCAAAGAAAGTGGCTCCTGAAGACACTGAAAGAGTGTAAAGACTGCCTGTAAATATCCACAAAGAGGTGCTCTGTAATTGATGGAGGACATACAAAAAGCATATTTCTCCTTCCTCATCCCCACTACTTACCTAAACTATGATTTTCAGTGATATCTTTACACTTTTCCTTTTGCTGTTCTGGCTGTGGATCTTTCAGTTGTATAGGAGTTGATGGTGATAAAGGTCTGTCCACACCGGGAGTGTCAAATGTCGCTGGAGAATTATCTGTTGAACAATAGATTTAAGAATTACATCAACAAGGTTGGAAAACCTATGAAATTATTTATTGTTTTTTTATAATTATAAAGAACAATATTTTTACTCTTTTTTCAATTAGTTAAGGCTTGTGGGTATAATCACATTGTCATACATGTTCTTAAGACATAAACTTTACTAATAATCAAAATATAGTAGTATCTATTTTATCTTTACAGGTTTTTAGATAGTTTTTACATACTTTTGTATGGATGAAAATAAGTTAAAATCAGTAAATTATTATAATTTACTTGTGTACAACTTACATGGTTCAGTAGGTGGTCTACTGCCGCTGTATTTCCTTGTCAACTCTTGTAGTCTTGCGTAATCCTTATTCTCAGTTGCTTCCAAATAATCATTCTGAGCTTTTAGCTTCTCCAAATCCGGGAAAAAATCTCTCTGAATTATTTTAGCAATACCCTGTAACATTATTTATAGTAAAATAAAATATCAGGCTTCGCAGGCAGATAAAACATTAAAAGGGTATTAAGATCGTTTTTACCTCCACATACTTCTCTTCGTCTAAAACTTCAGTTTTTTTTACAACTTTCTTCTTAGGTACTTTTGGAACTTTGAAAACAGAACTTTCTTTTTGTAATAAAGCTATGTTTTCTAAGGCAGCTGTACCAGGTTTTGTGATATTATTTTCAGACGCCATTTTATTAAATACGGTACTTATACCTTTAATGTATTAATAAATTATTAGTTATACCCTAGTTAATCTTTAATATGTTCTTATTTACAAAATAAAACTTATGTTTTTAACATTTTTTCCAACCAAACACAATACTTCACTGACATGTGTCAATGTCAACTGTCACTGTCAAATTGACAGTGTCAATCTCTAGGTATCGTTTTTTTCATAATTTATATAGCTGTGGGTTCTTTCTTTTTTGAGCTAAAGTTCACAATTCTATGATAGAAGTTTAAAAACCTAACTTCAATTCTTTACTGTACCCAAAGAAATCTATTGTGTTTCTATATTTTTCCGTAGGACGAAGGCGTGGATTTTTATATTACAGGTTAAGCTAAAGTTACCATCATCAATCAAGTAGTATAAAATTTATTGAAAAAGATGGGATATTAATAAAATAATTATATCAGTAAACAATAACATAATTTATTAACAATTAAAGTTGTATAATTTTTTAAACTACGAATATTCTAATAAAATATTGCTACATCACAACAATTGTACTAGTGAGATTTCGTGCTATTACTTCTCAGCTAGAAATTTGCAAACAACTTCTAGAAACTTCTCGGGCTTTTGACTATGAACCCAATGTCCAGCTCCTTCTACTAATGTTAGTTCTGCCAAGGGAAAATATTCTTGGATGTCTGGCAAGTCATACTTTCTGCAAGAAAATAAAAAAAAATCATCAAGAGTTAAAATATTAGCAATGCACAGGCTTGCCAATAACCCCCTGCCTTTTAAAACCGACCGCGTCCCATGCTGTCATCTTGTGGCTAATACAATAAATACATACTTTATTTCCTTAAAAGGACTTTTCATATTACTAAGTCAACTCTGCCTTTAAAAAAAATTTTCAAAAGCCAAATCACATTTCTAACTTACCCTATATAATCCGAAAGTGATCCACCGATAAACAAACTTGGTCCGCAATATTGTAAACCCTTTAGATTACTTGGGAAACAAGAGATATGCGATTGAAAATTCTCCTTCAGTGCTGGCAGATTTACTCTCCAGGAATAAGACCCAGTATTAGTCTGTACTAAGTTGGTTATCAAAAAGTTTCTCAAGTTAATATCTGGTATTATTGACTTTAGTTGTTCATCTGCTAATTTTCTAGCCTTAGACATAGCTATGCCAGATCTGATGGTAACACCTGACATGGCATCAAATAAACTGACCATAGAATATATTTGTGGGCTTGTTTTTACTGGAGAAATGTCAACCACTATAAGACTGGATACAAGGTCCGCCTGAAAAGATATAACGTAAAATTAACATGAAAACAAAATATGTGTTTAATAGATCTTTGAACCATTCCAAATAAAATTATAACTAAAGAATTATTGGCAAAATTTACGTACAACTTACACATAGTAGTGACAGAACCATAGCTGTTCGTCCACCCATGCTGTGACCTAATACAGACACTTTAGATAGGTCTAATTTCTTCAGGAGCTTCATAACATCGTGAGCCATATGTATATAGGTATGTTGTGACGAATGGCGACTATCACCATGGTTTCTAGCATCGATACTGATCACTTTTCTTCCCGTTGTTCGGTGAATAGCTTTACTCATACTATTCCAATTATTTTTCGATCCTAAGAGCCCATGAAGAATGATCAAAGGAGGTCTAGTACAGTTTTCATCTGATGTACTCTCATAAGAAGCATAAGCCAAATCTACTGTTTCGGAGAAACTAGGGTCGGTGGAAGAATATGTTCTGGAAACCGCTAATTGCGACAACGCCGGGATTTTTATTTGTTTCAATAGGTTTTTCTGACATAGTTTATTAAGAAACATTTTGAATTTTACGGAAAAGAGAAGAAAATGTAATTTAAAACTAAGAATTTGGCATTCTTATTTCTTATTCTCAATAATTTTTTGACATTCGCATTTGTCATTTTGCTACTGTCAATCTGTCATTTTTATTTATGGGATCCGGCAAAAAGCTTTTATGGCTATTCATCCACCAAAAATCTAATAGGTATTACATTTTTCCCACGGAAAAATGAAAAAGCAGACGCAAGCCTTTTGCAATAAAGTGCATGTAACATAAAACAATAAAAATAGGAAGTTCCACTTTAAGACTACAATAGTAATAGTATCAAAGGAGCTGTTTTACAACCGAACAAAATTTTTCAAGAGCATTTCCCGCTTTTCCTTGACTACTGCATTAAAATGAATGATAGTGAACAAATTCAAATTACTTATATTTTAATTCAATAATAAAAAACGTGTTACAATTTTTAAAAATTCCGCTGGATTGTCGGCGTGGACATTATGACCGGCGCCTTCGATGTACTTTAATTCAGCTTTCGGAAAAAAAGCCTTGATTCCATTCAGATCTGTTGATCTGAAATGAAACATGTCATTTAATATTTAAAAAAATAAAATGATTCAAATATTCAGGTACAGTCTAGTAGCGTTCAAACCAAAACAATGTACTTGACTTACGGGATATAATTGGAATTCCCTCCTCCGAGAAATAAAGTTAAACCAGGAAAAGTTTTCCCTGACATGTTAGGAAAAGTAGCAATGTCCATGAAATGTTTACTTAACACTTCAACATTGCTAGACCATCCCACTGTTTTGTATGGTGTGACTCCAATATTCATTAAAATAAAACCAACAGTATCTGCATTGAGTGATTTCGACTGTAGTTGCTTTTTCGCATATGCTTTTGCTTTATTCATATCTTTAATTCCATCGAAGCTAATCGATTTCATCGTATTCAAGACGTTCGGAATAAAGTCATTTAGTGCACCTGCTGTCGACACCGGAGAAATATCCACCACGACTAACTTCGATACTCTCGCTGGCTAAAAATCTTGCTAATATTATAAATGCGAAAGTTTAGGTGTATGGATGAATGGATCTGTTATAGAGTTTACCTCGTTAACGGCAAGACGGATTTCGATGAAATTTAGCGTAGATGCATAAGTAGTGTGTTCTTCCACACATTGCACTACGCAAAGTGTGGAAGAACACACTACTTAGTTTTTTTCAGTACAACGCGGACAAAATCGCGAGCAAAAGCTTATTGTTGCCAAAAATTTAAAGGGCCATTAAGAATGTCAATCAATAGGGCCGATTTTGACGAATAATTCGTGTTTTTAACTACGTTTTTGAATATCAACCAACGCCAAAACATTAGCAAAAGCAACGCAGCTACATGTTGCTGCACTTTAAAGATAAACGTTGAATTAATCTTGCAACTGGATAAAACGACAGAGAGATATTTCTTATTGTAAATCTGAATATATTTATTCGTGTTATTGATAGTTTCATTGTCGTAATATTTCTACAAAATATATTTTTGTATGTGTTTATGGTATACAGGGGTTGAGTAATGTTAACATGTAAGAATAATAACCTCAGTAAGTGCCAAAACCATAGCAGTCCTTCCTCCCATACTGTGACCAATGAAGTCCGCCTTTCTGATACTTAATGAGTCCATAAGGTTTTTCAGATCAGCCGCCAGTTCAGGGTAAGTATGGCTAGGATGATGAGGGCTATCGCCATGGTTACGAGCATCCACAGCTATTACTGTGTTATTTGTTAAATGAACTATCCTTTTCGACATACTTTCCCAATTCCTTTTAGACCCCAATAAGCCATGAAGAACTATAATTGGATTTGCGAAATCCTGTTTACCGTGAACCCTGTACGCTACATTAACAACTGATCTAATTAAATTTTTTATACTTTTGATTTTTAAAAATAATCCGAAATTATTTTTGTATAGCATATTTCCATTTCATTTTATTGTTTTCATTTATACTTGCAAAGCGAAAAACATCTTTTTATGACGTTGATTACAATGTCACTGTCAGTAAAAATAACATTATTCTTCATATTTATTTGTTTCGATTTTATACATTTACTATATCCTAGATAATATTAAAATATAAAATACTATTGATTATTATAAAATCTGTAAATAAAATAGTATTCAAAAACTTCACTGACACGTGAAGTACAAAACCTGGCAACATTAATAAGTGTGGCCATTATTTAAGGCGGGGGATAATTATTTCAAGAAAACCTCTCGTGTCTTCCAAGTGTAAATTGTGATTCGTGCTTCGCAAATATGTAATAACTGCTGAAGGGAAAAAATCACGAATTGTTGGCAAATCATCTGGTCTGAAATCGAGCAAAATATTCTAATGTTACTAATATGAGATGGAGAAAATAGCGACAGGTCACGGCGTAAAACCTGTCATGAGTAGAATACATCGTGACAAGTCAATCGAACTGGAAGGCGAAAACCTGGTGAAACTCTAAGTTCGAAATTTAAACCATAAATGTAATAATATACACTTAAGCTTTTAATAAATCCACTATTCAATAAAAATATTCTTTTTATTCAACTTACGGCAAATATTCCGATAACTGGCCACCGATAAATAGAGTAGGTCCATAATACGATTTTCCTATTAACTTTTTCGGGAATAAGGCCATATTATTAAAGTTTTTAATTAAAACATCAAGATTGCATGTCCAGCCTATAGTTAAATCTGTTTTCAGGACCACATTAGAAAGTATCAAATCCATTACGAGGTCATCACTTAAGGACTCTTTTAGTTCTTTCTTTACTCTAGCTTGTGTAGATTCTAACTTCGTCTCATTTTTAAAAGTTATTTTCTTCATTATAGTAAATATTTCTGAATATAACACTTCGAATTGTTTAGGTGATGATGCCGGTGACACGTCAATTATCATAATTCCTGCTGCTACTTGAGGCTGTAAAAATAATAGTTATTTACAACTATTACAAGCCTCTACCTAAAAGATTTTTTTCTAGACGTTACTTTTACTCTGTTGAAGCGCCGATAGGACTGCTGTGTGGTCCAGAATTTGAAATTCGAATTAACTACGCATTTACTACTGGTTCTTATGGAACCTCTCTCTTTAGGATTCCATTTATAATATTATTAATAGTGAATTCAAATTACCGCCAATAATGCTATACACATCGCAGTTTTACCACCGATTCCATGTCCTAGGAAGAAAGCTTTATCTACCGATAATTTCTTTAATAAATTCTGAACATCGACAGCCATTTCTTCGTATTTGAGCGAGCTGGTGTGTGGACTCATGCCGTGATTTCGAAGATCAACTATAACCACTGGCCGCTTCGTCAAATTGTTAATGGTCTTCCCAATGCTATTCCATTGCTTTTTATTACTCAACAAATCGTGTAATATACAAAGAGGTGGCGGAATGTCGTTTGGAGTACCAACAATCTGTTGTATCACTTTGTACGACAAGCTCACAGCGGTTCTGACGCAATAGTTTATTTTAAATATATTTTCATCGAGATAATGAACATTTTGATATAATATACAAGATCTCACAATGCGAAACATAATTTTGATAAAAATATTTAAAATCATACAATAATTCGTACATTTTTTGACAGAATTTTTGACATGTTGACTTTTTTGAACTTTTATTTTTTTCCTTTTATAACAGCAAAGGCTTAATGAACATCCTGCCAAGCATTAGATAAGAGTTAAAATTCGTGTGGGTTTGTATTGTAGTTAAAAGGCGCTGCTGTAGATATCTTAATTCAGTTGCTAAAACCGGCTCTGATAACAACTATTAATAGATCACCAATTATTGAGGACATAAGGGGTCATTATGGGTGACATAAGGAAAATGTTAATTGTAAATGCGGAGGGGTATACACCTAGAAAGAGATGAATGGATTGCGTGAAAGGTGACATGGCCAAGAAGTGAGTGATTACTGAGATGACGTATGAAAGAGTTATGTGAAGCACCATATAGGATAAGGAGGAAGATTTTGATGATGATAAGTGCGTCTTTAATTAATAAATAAAAGCAGGACACACATAACATAACATTTTATAAGTAGTTAGTACGGCACTGCGTAATGAAAAGCGTTACAATTCGTAACGAAAGTGCGTTCCAGTTAAGACTATGTTCAAATACTCTGTTATATATAAAATAACCGTTATAATGTCAAGTATTTTAATTTCACTAGACTGATCATCACCTGGTTTACTCTTTTCACGTAGGATTTCGTCTTTCAGATCGTCTCTCTTCTTGATGACGTCACATAGATATGTCAAACAAGGATTGTAATCCAAATATCATTCTATCTCTTTCTAATTTTACGTTCTATTGAATGTCTCTTCTTCGTGCTGTTCTTTACCGTTCTTGCACCTTCACCAAAGCGTCAACAAGCTGCCTCCACGCGACTATGGAAGGAAATTAAAATTTATAATTTTGTACTTAATAAAAAAAAACAACCAGTATGGGTTACCGACCTTCGAACTGCTTTAACTTACTTATTTAAAATACAACGAATAAATTTTAATTCATTATGAATCTTTACTTTCAATTTTAATACCAAGTCATTATTAACATAGGAATAATTATTTGTATTAATAGGCGGTGACCGTTAATTCCAGACATGTTCACATTTTACTTTTAATTAGAAATTTAACCAGCATGTATTTAAAAAAAACAAAGGAAGGTTGATTTAAATGGTTAAGTCCCTTTTCCACTAACGCAACAGTTGTGCGACTTGGTGGACGACCGCAATTATTACATACTAGCTGTTCCTGTGCGACTTCATCCGCATGAAAATAGGAAAATATTAATTTATTGTTCACATTTGTCAAATTATCAATTGCAAATGTCAAAATGACGACACGAAGGCAACCTTGCTTCTTTGATGTTGGCAGCAACTTATAGTCTCTTTCCGACATCAGTGTTTTTATCCAAAATATTTACCCCTTAAAATTTAATGATGTTAAAATATATAGCCTAAACCGTGACCTTAGTGTGGGGCTTTTTATTAAAACAAGAATTATCCAAAAATATGCTGTAATTGCTGACATCTTAGGCAACAAAGAAGTGTGTGTTTACGCTTTATTATAATAGAAGACAAATACCTGGAGGATAGCTTTAAAAACCAGATATATCTTTCCGGGCTAGCTATACTTGCATTTCAAGTCCCTTGAGCGTCGCTATGATAGAGATAGAAGGTTAGTATCCCCCATAGAGAATCGAAACATGTGCAACAGATAAAAACTAGATCAAAATAGTCAGGAGGCTATCTGCGCCTATGGTTGGTATACTCGGTTGCCAAATTTTCATAGATAAAAATCTACCTTTTGTCTTGACTGTTAATGTAATTAGTAATTGCATAAGAGTTAACATTCTTGGAAATATGTCCAAAATGTTGGCATGTCAACAATCGCAATTACCTAAATATCTATTAGTCAATTTACTAACAAGTTAAACACTCATTTACTAAAGTAATTACAATTATTAACCACCTTATACAAGTAGAAGATAAACAATAAAAATACTAAATATCAATCCATACACTATATCCAACATGGTTTGTAATATGACTAGTGATATAAAATGTATGAGCGAGCTATGCGATTGTCGATTGTTTCCCAATTCAACGGTTTAGTTGCAAAACTAAAAATCGAGTAGTATGCATACCTTCATATACGCTCTTAGGAATCATATCTAATCACATGTGCGATAGTTTACTCATAGTTTCTGATATGCGCACGCTCTTACTGTACGAATCATTCACATCATGTTTGTAGACTTTTACTAGACCTTTGACAGTAGAAAACCATTGCTAAAATCATCGACAAGACAATCTTTACTTAGCTTTTTTATTGACCGACTTCCCTAAAGGAGGATGTACTCAATTCGTTTGTTTTTTTTTTATGTGTGTTGTTACATCTATACTTATGGCCAGTCCCACTAGCGGCTGTCTACCTCAGACGATGACGATACTTATTTACAGGTCGGTTTTAGGCTCGATTATAAACAAATAACTCGCACAAACATAAATTACCTTGATATTTATCGCGCGTGTTTTTAAAATCGAGTTTTAAAATTACATTCTAGTAATGCATAATATTTACATAACTTTAGCCAACATCGCAGAGGTTTGTTTCTTATTTTTCTTGTTTCATGTTATTGTAAACGATAATTGTTAACTACAAGTGTTTTAGTACAGTTTTAAAACTAGCATTTAAGACTAAGTCATCTGTGTACTAAGATTTCACGCAACTTCTTAAGAAATAACATGTTTTGAAAGGACGCTTTCGCCTAAATCGCGACGATAAAATTAAAACTGTAATAATTCTTATACTAAAATTTGTTACGAAACTGACGGGAAGAAAAAACTAATTTGTTACGAGGCGAGTGGGTATAGATAAATAAATTCAAAATTAGGCTTTTAAAACCTTTTCCATTAAGCGGGTAGTCGCTTACTTATGTGCGGCCTATAGAATATCAAACGACATCGATCATAGATGAATTGGCATCGCGCTAGTGAAAAAGAACCTTTTCTTACTACCTTCTACTATATACCTTGCCTTGTACCTTGTACATATTCGAAATCATTATTTGTTGTTACAGATTCTGATTTAAATTATGTTAAATACTAGCTGTTGCCCACGACTTCGTCCGCGTGGTATTAGAAAATATACGAACTATATAAATAACAAAAAGCTACGCATCCCTCGGGAACCGGATATTTCTCGGAGATGACCCTTATCCCATGTGAACTCCAGACATTGTTTTATATCTGTGCTAAATTTCAATAAGATATGTTGAACTGTTGCAAAGTGATCGAGTAAACATTAAAGAACTAAATTAATGAATCCCACAGGAACCGTAACTATTCCCGGGATAAAAAGTAGCCTATGTGTTCTTCCAGAATTCTCTTCTCGAATTTCATGGAGAGGCCGTTTAGGCTACAAACTCTAACAAACATCCATCCATCCATCCGTCCAGCTATCTAAACTTTCGCATTTATAATATTAGTAAGATTATTAATTTTTACTATGATAAAAGTTTCCGAGCACGCACAAAATATTAAACGAACCGAAACACAGGAGAACACACCGACTTGAGGATAAATCTGAAAGCAGGAACATAACTCTTCGAGCTCATTCGATTTCGTTTTCACCGAGAATTTAAAAGCTTATTTTTAACAAAGTTATATTACATTTTCATACATACTCATACATACTCTTTTATTTATTTAAATTTTATTTGTGCAGTCTTTTGAAACTGAAATTTGATTGTAAATTCAAAAAAAAACTGTGGATTTAATTACAATCGCATACATTCTCAATTACCTATTGTATAGTCTACATTTTCCAGACAGAACAAGAAAGCGTTTCAAGCAACATTTGTCCATCAAATTAACAATTATTGATTTTTAATTAATTGTAATTTAAGTAACGTATTTATGCAAAGACTTGGTATGTCTATAACATTTCATTCTACGTAAGGCGGTTTGGTAGCGGTGCGTAAACGCGGTCTCGTGGACTTGTGGTCAATCTTGCAGAAAACCCGTCAAGACAACAACGTACACAGGTATTTCGAACCTTAAAGTAAAGTTATTAAACCCATGGAAAGCTTACGTCATTTTAAAAACATTGTAATTTACAAATTATCATATAAATATTTTAATACAATAATCAAGGAATATGAAATACAAATTGTGTGTGCGTAAAAGTCGTGTTTGAAATTTAAAAAAAAATTAAGTGTAATTTGGACTTATGGTATGTAAATCTTTGCCTAATTTTTTTTTTTTAGTAACTGACAATAATTTGATTTTTGAAAAGAGTTAAAACTCTTGTCAAAAATGTAACAAGATTTTATATCTTATTGAGAGATTTTTGAAACTATTTAATACAAAATGATGCTAATTTATAAATAATCCACTATTCTATACACTGTGAAATAATAAAATAACACACAAAACTAATATAGCTTTCCATAATCTTTTTTTATCGAATAAAACATGCGAATTTTATATGCCAGTGTTATTTTAATTACATCTAAAAATAATTTTAATTTAATAACAATGCAATTCCTGAAAAAAAAAACTAAACTAAAAAATTCATCTATTTTAAAAAAAGAAGTTGTTTATTTTTTTTATTCAACGTAATTTCACCTCTAACTGCCGGACAGACGTGCTTATTTATGCCTTGATTTGCAGCCTGCTACAGATTATAGTAACTGCAGTGCAAATGTCTATGATACTTTGCAATCTTGGAAGTGGTCCAACTGTGTCGGGCTATCTTACAAACTTAGCATTATTATAACTGTTTATAAGCTCTCACGTATCATAACTCAGGATATAGAGAAAGCAAACCCTTTCACTTCAAACGCACTGTCAACAATTAGGCTTGCATTTTTTTAGTCAAACAAATAAATTCTTTACACTTAAGTTCAAATATTGTATAGCCAAATATCCTCATTACCTACATGAGTATTAACGGTGTAAGTCCTAAGTATTATTTTAGTGTGTTTACAAGTTTTTTTTTTATTTAAAATAGTTTCGTTTTAAATATCAAGTTGTTCCGTTTGCGCTATTTCCTTAAAAAGATGTATAAAGTTTTCATTTCACTTATTCGTACAGGCTCATGACATAATCTAATGATATTTTTTCTAAAGATAATCTATACTTATATATTTATCTATTATACTATACTATTATAATAAAGCGTAAACACACACTACTTTGTTGCCTAAGATGTCAGCGTTTACAGAATATTTTTGAATAATTCTTTTTTAATAAAAAGTAAAACACTTGCTTCACGCTTTAGTCTTTATATTTTAACGCCATTAAACTTAGGGGGTAAATATTTTGGATAAAACCCGTAATGTGGGAAAGAGACCATAAGTTGCTGCCAACATTAAAGAAGCAAAATTGCCATACTTTTTTATCATGTCATGTCATTTTGCAATTGAATTTGACAAATGTAATTAATAAAACCATTTTCATAATTTCATGCGAATAAAGTCGCACGGGAACAGCTAGTATCTTTATAAGTTTTTTTCTTAAGTACGTAAAGGGTGAAATGGGGTTTATATTTCAATGACCGCGTCTGTTTTACCGTTTCATATTCTAGACTATAGATGTGGGATAGATACAATATTACTAAATTGTAATTTAAGTAGTAAATCAAATCCCTTCGTAAGCCACAGATTAAAAAAAAAAACAAAATCCTTTTTAAATTGTGAGATTTGTTTAAAACGACTTACCGTGAAACCATTTTCAAATCAACGGTTAGCTTTATAATAGAACTATCTTTTGCCCGCAACTCCGTCGACGCGGAAGACAATTAATAACCTAACATATGTTCTTCCAAACTATGTTCTACATTTGTGTCAAACATCTAGATGCGTAGTCTTTTAGAGATGCCTCCTAACAAAGATATATCCATCCATTCCTCTAAACTTTTGCATTTATATTTGTAAAACAACAATATTGTTATTTAAAACATAATGGTGAAACCGGTAGTTATACTCGTAGATGTTAACCAGCACGTTTGGTCCGAAGTAAACAATTTCGACATTTAGCCGGTGTGTTTATGCTTCTGTGAGTGTGTCAAGTGAGTGTTGGTTAACTTGAAATACTCAATACCAATAACAATTTTAATGTCAAAATGAAGTGTAATTAAAGATTACATTTATTTGTAAACGCGACATTCTTTTATGTTTGTTGTTATGTTTATTATACGGAAACAACTTTTATGAAAATTATATCATAAGCGTTGCCAAAGGAGGGTAGAGACAACTGTCTTAGAAAATAGAAAATGGTGAAATTTGTAGAATCTCTCTGTTGTTGTTAAACACCTTACTGACTTTATTTTTGACCGACTTCCCAAAAGAAAGAGGTACACAAGTCGTCTGTGTGTTTTTTTTTTAATTTTTCGCTTTACAATCTGCATTTGTAACCTAACCTTAACCCTTATTCCGGTTTCGAATAATTTTTTTTTAAATATTTTAAACAATGGACTTTCAATTTCACAATGTAATTATATAAAATGCAGCGTAATTAAATTAAAAAAAAAACTAAAAAAAAAAAATCGTCACAACAATAAAATAGAATTTGTGTGAACTTAAAAAATAGTTTTGCATAGGTGCTAATTAATGCGATAAAATCGCATTAAATTATTTAGAATAAATTAGTAAAAAAAAATCTCACGCTTAGTTTTCATTTATCAATTTTTTTTTAATTAAAGTTAAGTAAGAATATATTTTTGAAAGTAAATCAACCAGCGTTTGATCCAAGAGATGACAAAACTTGTTCACTTACCTATCAAATTTAAGTATAAGTTGCGTGCGTGCGAAGGAGCCAGTTGAAAACCAGCGCAGGAACGGCTTAGTCCCTCCTGCATACGCTGAGCTACCTCCTGCATACCTTTTGCCACGATCTGTTTTCTTTAGAATTAGTCCGTATGTGTGATTTCTTCTTTTTGTGGCAATAAATACATATTCTATTCATTCATACTTATTGTCGACATCTATTATGTCCTCACCAAGGATTTCGAACTCTGTATAGGTTAAATCCTCTAAATAAGGACAATTTTACCTTAGAGGGCGACCATTCTGTTTGAAATAAACGCCTCCTGTACCGGGCTTTAGGGGCTAAGTGAGGGTAAAATAATTATTTACATATATATAAAGAGTTAAATACTTCAATTATTTTCATACATTTCATATACATATTTTTACTGTTTCATTGGAGTGGGCAACGCGTTCGTTGTTATTGCCTCGTTATTTACCAACATCCGTCGTATTGCCGATTTTTAATTGCTATTAAGTGAACACGCATGTCCTTAATCAATTCATGAAAGGTACATTTGCAAATATTAATACAATCGGTATCATTTTCCTTTGAAATCCTATTAATGTTACAAATGCGATAGTATAGATAGATGGATGTTTGTTAGAGTTTGTAGCCTAAATGGCTGAACGGATCTCGATGCAATTAGGCGTAGTTGTAGAAGATAGTCTGGAAAAACACATAGGCTACTTACTTTTGTTATTTTTAATTCCACAATGACGGAGTCGCGGGGAAAATCTAGTATAAAATTGAGGAATCTATACAGATAAATAAATTTATGTGATAATTTAGCATTTGGGGGTTTACCGAAGTTAGTAAAATTATGATAAGCGTCTATGAGAAAACAATTTTGGTAAAGTCAGCTATCCATAGGTATAAATGATAAGTGCCGAGGGTTTCAGTGCGTTCTACGGAGATCCCGGATCCCCCTTTTTGCACTCAAGATGGCCACCGAGGGGTTTTAGTGAGTAAAACCCACATAACCTTGTCTCTCCAGAAGGCAGGGTAATTTTTAAAGATCTCCCCCGATAACAAAACAGAATATAAATGATTACAGTATTTTAATTTGTTTTTTCTTGCTTTTCAGCACAACAGAGATGAGTTTGCTGGGAAACATAACAGAGTACTACACGTACGTGAACAATGACCTAGCAGGTATACAACATTATTGAACGGTTCCATTCTAATTAATATTAAAGTTGCCTGTCAATGTAGTTACGGGTCATAGGCGATGCATTTATTTAACTGTATATACACTTTCTATCTGACTAATATTATATAGAGGAATTTGTATTTTTGTATACATCGAAATAACTCAAAAACTCGTGGTCGATTTTAAAAATTCTTTCACCATTAGGAACTTACGTTATGATTGAGTAACACAGGCTACACTTTTTAGTTTTTTTTTTTTAATTTCACTCGGACAAAATCGCAAGCAAAATCTAGTTTTAAATAAAATGACAGCTAAATTCATAACGATACTTACGATATTTTTGTTGTGACATTTCTCTATATAATCAAATTTAATTGAAATTAGAAATTATAAACACGTATCGAAACATATTTACTTTTATACTCTGTGATTAAGTATCTACAGACTTAATAAAAAAGACATGTTTATATCAACAATATAAACGCAAGTCTTTGCATAATAATTAGTAATGTTTTTTATAGTACATATGTATATACGGGTATAGAATTGTATTATCTGTGGTATGTTTTTATCTGTTTGAGCCAATACAAATCGGCTAAAATGACAAAAAATTAAATTAAAAACTAAAAAATTGCTTCCGCCATTTAAAACAAGAAATTAACAATAAAAAAGTAATTTACAAAATATTATGTTTCATGCAAAATCCATAGATTACTAAACGTAGTAGAAAATTAATGGAATTTATGCAAATGACTACTTCTATTATATTCTGTATAATTATATTTTATTGATAGATATAAAACACGGTTTTATTTTATTGTGATAATGTTATTAAAGGCCTGACCTTGACCTAAGAGCTTAAAGACAAAATATCAATTTGACACAGAGTGTAGAATCGCGGAAATACGCCTTCTTCAAATTGTAAAAATATTTCCTTATTTGTTGCAACGAGACAAACTCCGCCTCTTACATTATTGAAGTAGCGGTGAGTTTCGCAAACGAGGGAATAATAATACAAAGCACTTATGTTGTACCAACTGCCTCCTAAGGGTTATCCAAGTCGAAATCCCAATGCGTATAAAATGTTCAAGCGAATGTGTATTTTTAGATGAAACGCCATCACATTCCCCGACCGTACTTAGTGTTAATTGTCGTTTTGATACAAGATTTATTTACCAGATCAAAATTGAAGTAATATGTCTTAGACTTCTTTGGGTATTAACTTTTGCATTGAATATACTTTACCAGAATTTCATCACAATCTGTCCAGTGTTTTAGAAACGCGTTGTGGATAAACATGCAAATGTATAGATTCTTTTATATGTAAGGTCCTCTAGACAAAAATAATGTGAACTCACAATATGTCGATAACAATCTATACTTCTATACTAATATTATTAAGAGGAATGATTTGAACTTTTATATCATCATCATCATCTCCCCTGCCTTATCCTACTCCCGTAGGGTCGGCGCACCGGGTTTTCGTCCTCCAAAGCATTCTATCATCCGTCATCTCAGTCATCACTCCCTTCTTGATCATGTCACCTTTCACGCAATCCATCCATCTCTTTCTAGGTCTACCTCTACCGATGTACCCCTCCACATTCATAACTAATATCCTTCTTGTCACATGCGATTCATCCCTTCTCATAACATGCCCATACCACTCTAACCTTTTACTCCTTATTTTCTCAACCACTGGGGCTACTCTCAAACTTCCTTGAACTTTTATATGTGTTAAATAATTCAAAAACTCCTTGTCGGTTTCAAAAATTCTTTCACCGTTGTAAATAACATAGGTTATATTTTTAATATTACGCAGACGAAGTCGCGAGCAACAGCTAGTTGTGTATAATTGTGAAGTAACATCGCTCAATAAGGTATAACGGGAATTATGTCAGACAGATGTGAACTTACGTAATGTATGTCAAAACCTGTTGAGATGCCTCGTTCCTTTTCTCCTCCTTGCAACACAATTGTTTGTCTGTTACAGTCAGATATTTTAAACTAGCTGTTACTTTCGACTTCGTCCGCGTGAAATCAAAAAAATATAGTCTATGTTATTCACAGATAAATTAGCTTTTTAATGGTGAAGGAAGTTGCGAAATCGGCCAACTAGTTTTTGAGTTTTTTCAATACATACAAAAATACAAATCTTTCCTCTTTATAATATCAGTATAGAAATAAATAGACTAGACATAGTAAACATTTTTATTTTTTTATCGCTTACTTCTAAATTATTCTATGCTTCCTCTATATATTTTTCGAATCTCTTTGGTTGCAGTTATCTAGACAAGATAATAATTGTCTTTCAAATATCTGTTGTTTATTTTTATATATTTTTAAATACATACGAGTAAACAAAGTTCGTACCATCAGCTTACAGTAGTATTTAAATAATTTTTACACGGATATTGAGCTGAATAGTTTGATCTAGATTTTCAGTATCAAAAATTGTAAAATTATTTTATTTATATAAACATTTAACACTTTCAATGCTGACTCGCCTTGCGTGTTTGTTTCAATACATAAACAGCATGGTATTTGTTAATCCTCATGAATTTAAAAACTCATTTTTTATTTTTCTATTTCCAGATCCTCGTACCAATAAATTTATGTTGGTATCATCGCCATGGCCAATCTTTATTATAATGTTTGTCTACCATCGCTTCGTACACACGTGGGGCCCGGCTTTCATGGCCAACCGACCACCTTACCACCTTAAGAACCTAATCGTTATATACAATATCGCACAAATATATCTATCAGCGTTTATGGCAATACAGGTACAGTTAATGAATTATATTCAGTACCCTATTAGATATAAAAATAACTTCTACTGACTCCATATTATAGCAGAGAAATTCTTTAGACCTTTAGACTTATGTATTACATACTCAATTTTCAAAGTTGTGTTCAGAGTTTGTTGCGTAAACGGCTTAACAGATATCGATGTAATTTGGTATAGATGTAGGGGATAGTCTGGAAGAACACATAGGCTAATCACTTTTATTTTTTTGAATCCCACGCGGACGAAGTCGCCTGCGAAAGCTAGTATTATAATTGCGAAAGCTTTTGATGGATGTTTGTTAGAGTATGTAGCCTTAACGACTAAACAGATTTCGATAAAATTTAGCAGAGACATAGAACATATTTTTGAAGAATATATAGGCTACACACTTTTGTTCTTTTTAATTACACGCGGGTGAAAACTAGTGGTTAAATGATTGTGAGAATGTGTTACTCTAAATGTTTTTATCCATGTGTTCCGTCAGTGTAAACCCACAATAATATAAAATTATATTACAGTGCATCACTTACCTATACCTGCCGGGCTATTACAGTCTATGGTGTCAGAAGATAAACTACGAGGACACGCCCATAGAGAGGCTCATCATAGATCGAGTGTGGCTCTATTATTTCATTAAAATCGTTGATTTACTCGATACGGTAAGTATTACAATATCTAATAGGAACACTAATTGCTACTAGGCTCTACCAGTTAAATATCAAAACTAGCATTCGATCCTCCACTAAAAGGTCGTTTATTGTTCGTCTCTGTGTTGATTGTTTTAATAAAATAGTCCGGTGTAAGTGTCGAATATTTTTGAGCTCGTTAAGGTTTCAAAGGCATAATATAGGGTTTATCAGAGATATAAGGGTCACGGTCAGTAAAAATGAGGAAGTATTTCTCATTTTTAAATTATTTCCTCATCTTGTTCCATGTTGTAAAACGATGTTAGAATTGTAATTTTAATTTGCACCTACCTTTATTATTATTAGTTCACTATACGTTCCCGTACACTATACGAGAGCGTCGGTGGCTCAATGGTTTAAGCACTTGACTTGTAATCTACAAGTCTTGGGTTCGAATCAATGTGATATTAGATTTTTCGAATTTTCACATGTATGTAATTTACCCGACCTTCTTGTCATTATACATTGTACCTAGATTAATTAACGAACGACCCTCACGATTAATAAATTGTATAAGACAGAAATACATTACGTATAAACTGAAACAATATTTATGTACACAAGCCACTGAAGCTCTAGTGAAAAATCACTGAGGTTTATTCAACGTTAATTATACAAAACTAGTTTTAATTTTTTTTAGTTAAAGATAAATAAAAATATACCTCTGTTTTATACATATTTTATTGCAGGTCTTCTTTGTATTACGAAAGAAGTTCAATCAAGTGTCGTTCCTCCACGTCTATCATCACCTGGGCATGTGTCTGTTGGGATATATAGGAACTAAATATGTACCAGGTACTTTTTTATGTTTGACATATCATTACCTTGAATAAGCCCTACTTAAACCTTCGAGAAAGTTCTAACGGTGAATATTCGTCTTTATGTCGTCTTTATAGATGTTATTTTACGAATTCACAGGTGGTCACGGTATAATGCTCGGCTTCATCAACTCTATGGTCCACGCAGTAATGTACACTTACTACTTAATATCCATCGTGCGCCCTAAATGGGTTAAACAATGGTGGAAGAAATACATCACACAGCTACAGATCGTAAGTTTATATTAACCAAGTTACTATAACAATATGCCTTTTTTTCGAAGGGGAATGCTTTACGCATACTCCATGCCTCTGGGCAGACACGTGAGTTATGTGGGACTCTCCTCCCATAGTGGGGGGCATACCTCACTAAACCCCTTCGTTCCTTCCTGGCCAATGTGTGGGACGCCCCACACTATAACAATATGCCTGCTCTAACATTCGGCAACCAATGCAGTAGATAAAAATGGTAGAGTGAAAGATTTTAACTACTACAAGCACGGTATATGTGTGCGTTACCACTGGCCGAATGACGCGGCGATGCTGTGAAAAACCGGTTTACACCGGCACGAGCGGTGTGGACCGGTGTAAAGCTTTGTCTCTGAACGATATTATCTCCTCTTTTACATCCATTTCGATTCAATTATGCACATATAAAAGCCTGAAGGAAAGAATATGTTTTTAAACTCTTACCATAATGATGTAATTTCCTTCTATTAGGTCTTCCGTGACGCTTGATCGATTTTAGCGAATCGTCATTCGATTTGTGTTCTTGGAATGTTTTAACAACAGCGGATAAATTCAAATGTTATCTTGTCAAACTATCTATACTAATAAACAGGAAATATTAGATTGTTTGGTGTCTAAGCTCTGAAACTGCAGGTCCGATTTCAAAAATTCTTTGACTCACTGAGCACCAAAGACTATGTTTTACATCAACGGGAAGTAAATATGGAACGTATATTCTTTGCCATCCATGCAAAGTTAGGTCGGATCGCTAGTCTATTTTAAATTATTTGCAGATAAATAATTAATCATTTTATTTTATTTTCAGTTGCAGTTTCTACTCCTCATCCTACATTTCGGACATATCCTGTTCGAGCCGTCGTGTGGTTACCCTAAATGGGTGTCCTTCCTATTCCTGCCCCATAATATATTCATATTGTTCTTGTTTTCCAATTTTTATATCAATGAATACATATATAAAAATAAAAAGAAAAATTAACTGTGAGAATGTTAGCGAATTGTATAAATTGTTGTGTAATATATTCGAATAAATTATATTATTATAAAAAAAACATGTTTTATTTGGTTTATAACATTTTTCATACTGATAACATAAATGCGAAAGTTTAGAAACAAGGATGGTTGTGTGTTAGAGTTTGTAGCCTAAACTACTGAACGGATATCGATGAAATTTGGTATATTGTTGATTGTAGGGGATAGTGTGGAAGAACACATTGGCTACTCTCTATTGTTTTTTTTAATTCCACGCGAATGAAGTCGCTGTCGAAAGCTAGTTTGGTCATTGAAAACATGGTCAGTCAATTTCTAAATTAAATTCACGCAATTGACCACAAATTGATAAACTAAAACTTCCGTTCTCAGGACAATGCGGTGTTTTATTTATTTGGTATTTTTATATCATACTAATATTATAAATGCGAAAGTTAAATAAATGTATAGATGGATGTTTGTTAGAGTTTGAAGCCTAAACGCCTAAACCTATTTTAATTAAATTTGGTATAGATGTATAGGGTAGTATGGAAAAACACGCGGACGGCGTCGCGGGCGAAAGCTTGTATGCCATGTTTGAAATAACCTGACCCAATAAAGCTGTTAAAAATCATAATTATATGTCTCAGTTTGTGTTGATTATGTGTTTCGACTGACATGAAACTTGTATTGTCACATATTGTCATACGTCCTATTTACCTCCAATAACAAGAGACAGAAAAATACAAGTTTTACTGAAGTTAAAACACACTGACTTATTTTCCTTGTACATACAATTTGTTTGTACTGATACAAAGGACCAGACGGTTAATTAAACAATATCCTTTTCAGACATAGAATTGGTTTCCCGTATTTATATAAATATATGTAAACAAGGAATCTTACAGCTTTAAATTTGCAATTTTTTTTATATCATAAGGTGGCAAACGAGCAAACGGCCATCTTAATCCACCAAACTGGCGAAGCGACCTCTGCCGATAGACATTCGGATGCGTTGCCTACCCTTAAGCGACGAAGGCGGAGAGAAGATGCACTAAGAGGATGTTTCCCCTTTCTCTGCGTGTCCTCCACCGTCAAATCCACGTTCCTAAAGGGACTAAATTTGGGCCTCCGGTAATTGAAAATACTAAAATATTACTCGTAAATTGTATAATCGAGTATATAGCAGGATATTCATTTCTAACCATAACATTTAAGGTAAAACTGACCAAGCAGCAAAATAGTGTTTTCCGTCGGGACAATTCGATGGGGAAAAAATCCAATTGACCAAATCCATTGACCGAACGGGCAAAAAATACACGAAAGCTCTAACTCAAGTTTTTAAGTATATAATTGCTAATTTAAATATTCAATAAAGCTAACTTTACTGCGAGAAATATACCAATCGACGACACCTCGTTTAGGCAATGTTAATAACAATTAATTCAGAATGTAACAATACAATGAAACAATTAAATAGATTGAGGAAAAAGATGGCCGACTGTAAATGATTGACAGTTAGGCGTAGAACAAGAAACATTTAAATGGACTAACACATATTTGAAAATAATACTTACACTGCCCTCAAGCGATCATCGTGACTATCTTTGCATCAGGAGTTGACGTAATATGGTTGACTAAATTAATATTTATTGAACACTACTTCAACATTAATTACATTAAATCATGCTTTTTTTTATAAATGCGAAAGTTTAGATAAATGGATGTTTGTTAGAGTTTGTACCCTAAACGGTTAAACGGATTTCCATGAAATTTGGTATGGATGGAGGATAATCTGGAAGAGCACATAGGCTACTCAGTTTTGCTGTTGTTTTTGCACGCGAACGGAATCGCGGACGAAAGCTAGTTATAGAATAAATCAATGTCTATAGCATGCCAACCATATTTGTAAAATATTTTTCGGTCTTCATTTAAATATCATCATTTCTAAATCGCTACTTTACGTTTCTTCAAGAAGTGAGCGTATAGCTTTCTCAAAGGTTGGCAACGCATCTGCAGTTCCTCTGATATCTACAGCTATCATCATGTCGGTGTTCCCGCAGCTAATTGCCTCTCTAATAAAAAGAACCCTATTGATCAATGTTGACTGCAACGGAATTATACCGTCCACATTGCTGAAATACTCGAGAAGGGTATTCAGAGCATCTGAAAATTACGTGTACAGTGTATAAGTGTGCCAGGACCGCGATAATGGAAGTCAGTACAGATGACTCTACAGTGTTAGGTAAATTATTTCTTAAACATTCTTTCTCAAGCCATTAGTCTATTATTATTTTAAGTGATAAAAGGAAATCAACGCGTTATTTACCAGCCGCATACAATTTTATCGTTTCCTTTCTGCGGTTTTGCACACCGTTTAAAAAATTGTCATGTTGCGCTCGAAACTAATTAAGGAAGTCGTATATAAACCGTAACAATTAACGAACAAAGCATTACCACTTCACATTTATTGTGAAGTGAGATCTTCATTTTAATAGAGTATACGTTTTTTTTTAAAAAAATGAACGTGATCAAAAGTATCGAGTTACTTTTCGACCGTCCTAACGAAACCCTTATTACACCAAAGGGTGAGGACAGTGAATTGTTTCAACTGACTGAACAATATTTGGTAAGTTTTTCTTATAAATGTTCCGTTTTATAAAAATAATACCAATCTTAACATTCATATTTCAAGGTTATACTAAATTAAACTTACATTCAAAAACCACATTCGATGCTAAATTTAAAGCTTTATTTTTTTAGCCCAAAGACTATGAGAGCAACGGCATCGAACTTAACAACCGTTTCGGTAACGATGCAACCAACACCATCCTCCTCAAGGACTTGGCTCAGCTGCCGCAATTCACCAAGGCGTCGCAAGTGCCACCTGACGCTGACTTCTCTCTCTTCCTGCCTAAGCACCAGGAGGCTGCCACTGAAGTAATCGATACTTTGATGCGTAAGTACAAATCGATCTATTGACTACTAGCTGTTTGCTCCTGACTTGTCGCGTGGAATTAAAAATAAAATAAAAAATATAGTCTTTGTTATTCTGTGATAACGTAGCTTTTTAATGGTGAAAGAATTTTTGAAATCAACCCAGTAGTTTTTAAGTTACTTTAATACATACAAAAATGCAAATCTTTTTTTATGTTAATATATACTACCAGTTATGGCCCGCGAATTCATTCTCGTGATTTCCCAAGGTATATCTACTTATTGCTGTTCCAAATGTCATCAAGTTCTCAGATTCCGCCATCCTCCATCCATTCAATATTTATTGTAGTAAGCCTAGTTGTCTGTCCCAACTTTACATGGACTTAGTGTAGAGTTCTTATAAAGTAAGGCACTGAACTTAATCTTACTAATATTATAAATGCGAAAGTTTAGATGGATGGATGGATGTTTGTTAGAGTTTGTAGCCTAAACGGCTGAACGGATCTCGATGAAATTTAGCATTGATGTAGAGGATAGTCAGGAAGAACACATAGGCTACTCACTTTTGTCTTTTTTAATTCCACGCAGACAAAGTCGCGGGCGAAAGCTAGTAAATAATATTCCAATTAAATATTTAAACATAGGGTGCTATTGAGAGGGAAATATTATTACACAAACAAATTTGTTAAAAACCATTTTTATTTAAATAATATTTACAAATAATTATATTTTATTAATAAATGTAATTTTCACTATTAGGTGTGCCTGAGGACAACCTGCAGGACTTTCTGTCCACTTGTGTGTACGCTAGGGTCAATCTGAACCCTCAGCTCTTCAACTATTGCTTATCTGTGGCTTTGATGCACAGGTTAGTCAAATTCAATCTTTAAGTCAACCATATTCATAAAAAAACATATTTTTTTTTTCTTTTTACATACATACATATTAAACTGGGTTTTCAAAACAACTTCATGAAAACTGATAACTTTTTATTCTGACAGGAACGATACAAAGGAAGTGAGGATCCAAAACTTTGCGGAAACTTTCCCCTCAAAGTTCTTGAACTCCACCACATTCGCACAGGCTAGGGAGTCCGCTGCTGTGATCCCTAAGGGCACTCCGGTATGTTTATTTATCTTTACCTCCACAACAATTGTCACACTTTTTATCTGTCCCTGAACATAGTACAGGCTTGTAGTTAGGTGTCCATGGTCCAAGACTGTCATTTGAATAAAAATCCATTGGATAAGTACCATCATCCTTCAACCATTTAGAATTACCTAATGCAACAGAAAACTCATATGGTGTAAGCAGAGGCTTCGGAAATGCTGTACCCCAATCTATAGATAATCTTGGACAAGCAACTTGAACAAAAGCTTCCAAATCAAACATTGCAAGCTTGCTAGGAAATATTTCTGATAACAATATCTTTACATATTTCTTATCAGAGTTTTGTATTTGCTTTTCTAAGTTACCTAATACTTTTGTACTACCTTGTCTCCCCAATGTACCTAATATAAGGCCAAATTTACCAGCACTTTCTGCTGTTTTCAACTGATTATGTCTATTGGTTTGCATTAATTTATGTTCATATACTTCTGAAGTGAATTTCTTTTCGTATGGATCATATTTATAAGCAGGGATAGAGGGATTGGCTATCATCACAGATTCTAAATGAAATCTACCATCACCTAAGTAAATGATTACATCAGATTGCAACTTGGGCGCTGTACAGCCAAGTATCTCTCCAGGTGATAATGGCTTACATTGTGGCACTGTTACAATATAATCTTCACTGCGAAGATTCTTAGCTACAGAATGTAGTGTTGTTACAAATTGAATTGTACTAACTATAGCTAAATGAGTCTTCTTTGGGAAATTTAACCTAATTGTGTCTAAAAAGTGTGATGGATCAATCTTTATATCTACAAATATATAGAGAACTTTGATGTGACCTGTTTGGTCTATTGGTATTAAACAAGAATGCCCGTAATGTACTAGTAGGTCCACGCCAATGGCTAGCGCGGTAAAATCGTCTATACAACAAGCGCCGTAAGTTACGTCCCCCATTATCACAGTATCAGCAGTTGTAAATGTTTCAATAATGTCGCACAACGTTGTTGCGAATAGTGTCAAACCTGAAATATTATAATTTATTAATAATTTCAAAATGTTTGCGTGATTGACCTTCACTTTATCCTGTCTTACCTTCGGGTAACTGTAAAGCCACTCTCTTAGCTCCTAAAGATCGTATTCTCCATATCGTTTTATGTATTTCAAAATTATAATTTTGAGGAAGTGACTCGCAGGCTCTATTTAATAACGGGTCATTCAATAATTCGTCAGGTATTTTATTCACAGAGCGTATTGCAGGTTTAAAAGTTTTTCTTTGCCCTTCTGGCTTCGCACGTACCACTACAACACCCGGATTCAGCGCCAAATCTTCCATTTTCAGTAGATCATAATGCAATAGGAATATTAAAAACAAAAGCCCTTTGGGCTTTGGGTTATGTTATTTTTTTCAAAAATAAACACGCGCGAATAATTTTGTGGCCTACGTGACTTTTCGCAACTTTTCCGTTTCTTTACACGTTTCACAAATACAGAAATTGCTCACAAATATATTTATTGTCCCACTACATTGAGATATTTTTATTACATATTTATAATAACATTAACAAGGAAAATATTTTACCTTAAGCAACTTAATATTCAAATGTCGCTAAGTTATCCACCGCTTTGATATATGTTTTCCTCAATTATTTCTATTTGCGTACAACGTGACACCATACCATTTGACATTGTTGGTAAACTGACAGATGTCATTTGAATGTCAAGGGAAGAAACTTTTTTTTTGTAAAAAATTGCAATACATTCCATTACACGTCTGCATATTTTAATGTTTAAATAGGATACGCAAATACTTTAGTATTATTAAATTAATAAATGTAAAATATATTGTAAAGTAAGGTATTTGGGATGAGCAATTAAAAATAAATAATTAAATATTACAGCGTATACCGATTATAATCCCAAGAGACTACACTGCAACCGACTTGGATATTGAGCATCGCTTGGCCTATTTCCGTGAAGATATTGGCGTCAATCTACATCATTGGCACTGGCATCTTGTATACCCGTTCACAGCCAGCGACAGAAGAATCGTTGCAAAGGATCGTCGTGGGGAGTTATTCTTCTACATGCATCAGCAAATTATTGCTAGGTACTTACCATTTGCATGTAAATTTAAATTGTAACAGATTTTTTTACAATCGCTCAATAATTCTTAATTTATTAATAGATACAATGGAGAGCGCCTTAATAACTCACTGCCGAGAACTAAGAAATTCAGCAACTTTAGGGAACCGATCCCTGAAGGGTATTTCCCTAAACTAGACAGTCTTACGTCATCGCGAGGATGGCCACCACGGCAGTCGGGTATGCGCTGGCAGGACCTGAAGCGTGACGTGGATGGACTGGACGTTAAAATTTCCGACATGGAGCGTTGGAGGAGAAATATCGAAGAAGCCATCGCCACCGGAATGTGTCGCTTGGTAAGAGCTTAACTGTATTACCCCAAAAATATAGTTAGACACATAACTTGGATAATAGCAATGTACGAGTACTTATTATCCCTCTCATTACAGTCTAACGGTTCTACTCAAGCTCTCGATATCGACACGTTGGGCAACATGGTGGAGGCCAGTATGTTGTCACCCAACTTGGACTTGTATGGCAGTCTCCATAACAACGGCCACAGCTTCTCGGCGTATATGCATGATCCTACCCATCGATACCTCGTAAGAAAACAAGCAATATTTTACACAAACTCACGTTTGAAACACACAAACAAAAGAACTTATTTGTTTTTTTATTTATTTATTTAATTTTATTTTACTGTTTCTAGGAAAATTTCGGTGTCCTGGCTGATGAGGCGACTACGATGCGTGATCCCTTCTTCTACCGCTGGCACGCCTTCATCGACGACCTCTTCCAACGGTACAAGGAGACTACCAATGTTCGTCGCTACACTCGATCTGAGGTTAGACGATTATTTTTTTTTAATTCTACGAAAGTGTATCAATGCAAGTAACAGTTAAATTCTAAAGTTAAAATAAAATCTTCTAAAATTATATAGATCTTCATGGTGTCGTTGTTATTGCACAGTTGGATAACCCCGGCGTGCAAGTGACGTCTGCAATGATCACGAGCGAGGGCGCGCAGGCCAACACACTCAACACCTACTGGATGATGAGCGACGTGGATCTTTCCCGCGGACTTGACTTCTCCGATCGCGGTTCCGTCTTTGCGCGCTTCACTCATCTCAACCATAGACCATTCAGTTACGTGTAAGTTACTTTAATTTTAAATCCTTATACTTACATAAACGATTTTCGGTATTACTCTAATAATATTGTATGATAATGGATCAATGGTTCTTCAGCATCAACGTGAACAACACTGGCAACGCCCGGCGCGCTACATGCCGCATCTTCATCGCGCCCAAGTACGACGAGCGCAATCTCGCGTGGGTGCTCTCCGACCAACGCAAGATGTTCATAGAGATGGACCGCTTCGTTGTACCATGTACGCTATTTTTTAATTATCTCTTTTGATTTAAGAAGTTATTTATAGTGTGAGATATTTAATTGTGCGTTTGTTTGCAGTGAACGCCGGCCAGAACACGATAGTTCGCCAATCGACGCAGTCGTCGGTGACGATTCCGTTCGAGCAGACGTTCCGCGACCTGCGCGCGGAGGCGGGCAACCCGCGCGCCGGACAGCTCACCTCCTTCAACTACTGCGGGTGCGGCTGGCCGCAGCACATGCTGGTGCCGCGCGGCACGGAGGCCGGCGCCGCCTACCAACTCTTCGTTATGCTCTCCAACTACGAGCTTGATAAGGTCTAATCACTTTCTTATTCAAACGTTTCCACGTTGTTTACTGTACACGTGCTTGAAGAGTTCATGATAACATAATGGAACATCGAACGTGCTAAACGCTATATATATTTGCAATACAATTATTTGGTTAATAGTGCAATCCTCAACCTCTCTTGAAAGAACTTGAAACTATTGTTGGCTTTTATAAGAATATGCTGATTGTCAGTTTTAAGCAGTTACGGTTTGAAAGAAAAGAGATTCTACCTCATCCTCCTCCATCGTTAACAATTATTTTTTTACACCAGATCGATCAACCGGACGGTGCCAATACGCCGTGCGACCAAGCCTCGAGCTTCTGCGGTCTGCGGGACAAGAAGTACCCCGACAAGCGCGCCATGGGCTTCCCCTTCGACAGGCCCTCCGCCACCGCCACCAGCATCGAGGACTTCATCCTGCCCAACATGGCGCTGGTCGACTTCACCATCCGCCTGCAGAACGTCACCGAACCTAACCCGAGGAACTCACAAAACTAATACTCGACCCAAGGGCGTCATTAGGAGGGACCAAAGGGGGCAATAACTTCCTAAAGAATCGGAAAAATGTAAACAACGCGAGATATCAAGATTCCTCCAATGAGATAGATCACTTAAAAATCACTTGTCAAAATATCATTACTTAGACCACCTCTTAAGAATTTCTTTAGCATAAAAAAATTACTACTTTTACCTCCCCCCTAATCATCGACTGGCAACGCCCTATCCAACTAATGACCATGGCTATAAATATGGACTTTTATTATTTTACATAGATTAAGTTAAGCATTGAAAAAATGAAAGGCTGATTGTATTAGGTCTTATGAATTTGTAAATATTGTACAAAGTATTACAGAGCTATGTCTAGATAATATTGACCCGTTTTTAGATTTAAATAAATTTATGCATATCTTAATTGGAACTTTTTTATTTAACAATTGACTGCCAAATGACCACACAACCATTCCATCATTGAAAACTATTTTTTAATTACTTCTATTTATTTTATTTATTTATTTTTATAGGAATGCCAACAAAACATATTAAAATAGATTTACATACAGTGGTTGAAACTCAGTAAAAAGTATAAACATAAACATGTTTCATTTTCAGGCAAACACATCATTCGCAGACATAAAAACAAACAATGTGTAAAAATTACCTTATATCTCAAAAATTACAATTAATCTTTCATAACAATTCTAAGTAAAATCAGAAAAAAACAAACAATAATTGTTTAAGTGATTATGATGGAACTTTTGTAGTTAACTTTCTAAGGAATGATGATGCAGTATTAGATAAAATCTCTATTTCTGGTAAACTATTAATAATTTTATTAAATTAAAATGAAATTCTGTTAATAGGTGCATTTCTACCTACGTTCGAACGATAACAACTAATCATGAACAGGTCTTTGTTTCTACTCCGTCTTTTGGATGAATTGCGAGGAAACATTAATTTAATTTCACTAGAAAGTTCAGGGACTGTAACTATACCATTCACTATTTTATACAATAACACTATATCTGTTGTTCTTCTCTGATGACTCAAGGATGTCATTTTAAAACCGTTATCCCAATACCAATATCAATGGTTTCAATAAACCATTTTTTAAAGAAAATGCTTAGATATGATTCACACAGTTTTGTGTAAAAAAAAACAATTAGAAATTTAAATAAATGTCTTTATTTCAATCAGATTCAAACTTTAACAATTTTTTTTCTACAAGATCACTTAATTTTTAAAAAATTTAAATATAAAACAAATAAAAAAAGGTTAATGTTTAAACAAGAAAATCTAAATAACAATAATTGTCATTAAAATATATTGTATATTGTTATCTTCACCTATGTTCTTACCTGTAAAAAATAATACTTATAATTAGTCATATGAAAAATCACAGTCACTATAAAGTTGAATCCAACTAAATCAGACCTATCATTTAACATTATCACGTTATTATCAAAATAACACATAATCGGCTCGTGTTAGGATATCATCATAGTTTTGTATTGACTGAAGATTATATTATCTTATGAATGTGAAAGTTGAGATGGATGGATGCCTGTCAGTGTTTGTAGCCTAAACGGCTGAACGGATTTAGATGAAACTTGGTATAGATGTGGAGAATAGTGTGGAAGACCACATATGCTACTGACTTTTGTTTTTTTTTTATTCCACGCGAACGGAGTCGCGGGCGAAAGCTAGTAAAAACATAATAAGATCAACCCCTTTTTTACACACGAACAGCCTTACAAATAAAAGCAGTATAAATAAACTGAGTCTAAGCAAATATTAGTACAAAACGCTCATACTCAGTTTATTCCTAAATTTAACTTTATACCACATTTTTTTAAAAGGCTGTTAGTACTTATATTGGAATCTTTGGTTTTGAACACAAAAAGGGAGTGGAATATTCTTAAAATTATGTCTCGTTTAATTTATCATTATTAAAGGCTATTTATTCCTTACCATTGTAATTTACAACACCATCCTGATATACAACCTGTAAAAATAAAAATTGGACCATTATTTCCATACAAAAAAATTACTTTTTTTTTAATTTGCATAATCGTTATCAGGCCTATCATTAAAAATCACGTGTTTATCATAATTACACATTTCGGCTCGTGTATATTCTCATCATTTAATACCAATATAACCTATAGAAAGATAACACGTTATCGGCACTTATCGATTGAGTAAACGCTAGAAAAACTTATCTTATCTCCAAAGTTAAACGAAGATATTGAATGCAATCTTTAAAGAAGCTTTCTCAGTTCTTAACAAACAATTCGAAAAGCTGCATCGATAAGAGCCACGTGTTAGAATCATGAGGTTTATTATATAACTTTTAATATTATTGTTTGTTTTAATTTCAATTAATAGTAATTAGCATTACTCTTAACTTTGGATTAATTAAAAGAAAACTTACACATTAGAATTTATAAGCGAAATCCGAAAATTAGGATGCTCGTCCCACGAAACTTCAATTAAAAAGAGATCAAAGACAAAGCTTTTTTTACACAGCTGCGTTGACATAACGGTTTCCCGCTCGGATGGATGCCACAGACTATAGGATAAAAGACAAGTTCCATATTTAAGTTCTAAAAATAAGTTTCATAGAGGACTTTATAGTTTTTAGTTTCCTAGCAGTTTTTTTTAACTTATATCTCTATTAAAAATATATTGTAAAAAAAGTATTTTATTATTGTTTCAGTATTATCAAAGTTATGTAGTGAATTCCAGTGAGTTTAAATGCACGCTAACTTAAATTAATTCGTTCGATAAACTAAGATTTTAGACTTAAGAAATCAAAAATTTCCTTTATAGGGAATACGGAAAAAATTTATTTTTCTCCCCTTAACAAATTTAGTCTTTAAAAGTAGAGGTGGTTTATAATTTGCTCAGGTTAACTAGGTCTGTCTTACTGCCTAACTGTCTCGCCCCACTTAAGACTGATAATACACCTTAAGACGACAACCTTACTAACGCCTCGAACATCAAACTATTTTAGAACCATAATTACGATAGCTATACGGGCTACAAAGGATATTTCCAACGTTTTGGCTAATACATGAGATCTCCGGAAGTCTTCTTTAAATCCAGAATCCAGTGTTGTACTTTTTTTAACACACCTCTTTTCCCTCAGATAAGGCTGACCTTAGCATCTATAATTTTGATTACAATACCATTTGTTGTTAAAAATCAAGTGTTTTCTCAAAACACACTTGTAAATGAAAACATTAGCAGCAACAAGATGACGCGTATCAAGTACAGTAAGTTACAAGGAAATTAGACATCACCAATTTGGCCTTGCACAATGATGAAAATCTGAACCAGTACGTAAGATTTCTCAACCTTTAAATCGGAAATTAGCTTTGAATCCGAAAATGAAATATTCTTGGCGGTAAAATTTAAATTAACGAATAATACGATTGTAAACTGTTTGCTGGAGTGTAATATCTATGTTATTTCATTGTCCCAGATTTAAGGTTTAATAAAATACACTAAGAAAGTGAGTTAATAGTTATGAAAATTTCACCTTTAATGCGATAAAGTCCGAAACATTTCAATATTATACATTGATATTTTATAGATTATATAACTATTCATAATTGACCTTTGCTGTGAACTCAAAGGCTGGCATATAGCCACGTTTAAACGCGTTATATAAATATCCATACAACTATGTATTTCTATCGATCGACTAGATTGAGTAGAAATATATTGCTTGGGTATACATAAGTAGGGTGGGACCCTCAGTCAAGCAACTAGCCTATTTTATATCAAGTACGTCATATAATTTAGAGACAAGGCCCTGCATTTTTTGCGTCACACACACGTATGATTAGCATTTCATGATTACGTCATGTTGAAAGAGGACATCATACATATTTCACTTATAAAAAAAAATTTGACCTTCACCATAATTTTTTAATTAATATTGTATTGATTTTTATTATTTCTTAAATTATTAACATTCTTGTGTTAAAGTAATATTTGTAATTTTTAGTTTTAAATCAGGAAACTCGTTAAATTGACTCACGCACGTGGGGTTTTCGTCGATATTGCTTCCCTTCAATTAGTATTGTAAAGCCACATTTTTTTTTAACAAAAATATTAAGCATCTATATCTAGACATCAATTTTAAAGTTAAAGCTTTAGAAATAAAAAAAATAGTAACACATTGATAACCACAACTGGGCTTGTTTATTTCGAAATGAGATGATTTACATATTTATATTTACTTATTCATTTTTATTAATCAGGTTTGTTTTTTCTTTTTTTTAACTTTTAAATACATTCTTCATAAACACTTATTTACTTATTAAAATAATGTTAAAAATGGGAATAAAAAAGAAAGGATGTTAACATGTATTGCAAACAATTTTTGTATACATTTGCCTGATGTATTCACAGTTTTGTAATTAAATATGACATACTTAATTTATAACAATGGTGATAAATAAATAAGGGAATTTACTTATTATGGTCTTTTTATTAAATAAAAAAAATACAATTTTTATTTCTATAAGTACAGTAACAATTTAGTAAAATTTACCAAATCAACACTCCAGTCAGACCTGAGATCAGAATTAAATTAGACCGATGTGTTGTGCGATTTGTATCCAGGTAAGCTTGAGTTCCCCGACCAGGGCAGTAGGTAGTTGGAATCATTTTCATTAGCATTCCTATTGAATATACTTATTAACAATCTTAAATTATATCTAAAGTATTATACAATCATTATACCTAAACTGATTTCTTTACACAGCAGACAAATGTAATCAAAGATGAATGCAATAAATTAAAAAAAATTAAATAATAAAAAGATACCTTAATTGTTAGGTAAATATTACGCCTTAATTCAAAGTCTTGATTGAAAACAAATCATTATTTATACGTTTTTTAATTTTGAAATTTTAAAAACTACATCTAATACACAAATAGTTCCACTAAATAATTCAATGTGACAATGCAGATCTTTTAATGAATTAAAATCACATTTTGTGACATCACAATAAAATTAATAGGATTTAAGTTCATACAAAAAGTGTGAAGCAGTAGTTACCATAGATTACATAATTAAATGGACTCCTAGATAGGCAATATACACGGAATTTACATCTTACCCTAAATGTTGAAATTTGTAATATCTTATTATTAGAATAACTTATTTTATCATCCACACTCAATTGTCACTAAATCTTTGCTTCCCCATGTTATATTTTTAATAATTATGACAATGGTCTTAACTCTATTTACACAATACTGTTTTCTAACATGAAGAGTGCATCACTTTAAGGCTAAATTGGTGTCTGGCGTCAGTGCGATTTTTTTTTTAAATACTATGAAATGTTATTTGCCTTTCGCAGTGATGGTTACATTTGATTTAGGCTGTGGAATAATTGTTATTTCATCACTAATCTTTAGAGGCTTCAGTGTAGCATCTGTATCAGCAGGCTTAGCGGGTGTCGACGAGGTCTTATTTTTGTCCATAACTCGTTTAGCAACCACACTATGGGCTGAATATACATGATTCTCAAATTGCTTGTACATACCAAATGTTGCAGTGCATACTGTACATTTGTACGAGAGGTGTGCAGGTTTTAATGTCTTATTGTGATCTCTGGACACATGGTTCAGTAGTTTCCATTGGTATACTCTTCCACACACGGGACATCTACCAGCATCTTTCCCTTTGTTAGCCGCTTCCTGCATGGAACTGGTAACCAATCCATGAGCACCCAACAAATGCCTCTCAAGGCCCTGATCTGTGAAGAACCTGTATTGACATTTTTGGCAATTCAGTGGTGGTCTATTGTATATCATTTTAGGATGAATTTTCACTTTATGTATCCATTGCATATGATTTCTCAATTGTTCCAAGTCTTTGATATAACCATCACATATTTCACAAATAACAAATGAAGCTTTTGAGTTTTGTGGAATCTGAGATGAGGATGGCTGCGGCGCTCTAGGGAGCGGAGTGATTGATATTTTAGGTGTTGCCGATGTATTATTACCAACTTGATTATTTTGCATCATAGGATAATTAGTAATAGATGTGCCCGTAGGATTGTTATGCATGATCATAACCCCACTGCGTAATATGGGTACGCCAGAAACCGGTGGCCGAACGGGGTTGCTCATAGGTGGACGGCCTCGTGGTCGACCTAATACCGGCATTGTACCAGTTAAGCCAACATTAACCGGGTTCTGCGGTCTACCCAAATTACCACCCACTTGAGACCTACTAAAGTTTTGTTGATAAGGCGCCATTATATTATTCCGAGGTCTGTTTAACTTTGGTATTTTTGCTGGAGGTTCCCACTCTAGTGGAGGTGATAAGTTAAATTCTGGTTTGAATTTCTTAGCACATGAAATGTGATGTCTTGCTAACTTAGTCTTACTGTTATCTTCAAAATGACAATTGGGACATTGTTGGTACGCCGGTGCTCTTTCGAGCCTACCCCTGATGTTATGCTCGGCTTCCATGTGAAACAATATATCATGTGGACTACGAATCTCAAATGGACATGAATTACATTTATAAATATTGTTCCTCATATGTGGTGCTTCTAAATGATGTGCCATTATGAGCATTGATTCTGTCTTAAAACTACAAAATTCACATTTCTTCTGTTGTAGCGCATAAGGAGCATTTGTCTTCTTACTAAACTCTAAGTTCTGAGTGAGGGATACAATTGCAGACTCGGTGGCTTTAGTACTTCGTCCGGATTTCTTTTCCTTATATAATTTCCTATTTTGGTGCTTGAGTAAATCGCTTTGAACATACTCTTGAACAAGATTAAGGCCAATATTAATAAAAAACTGTCCAAGAGAGCAATCAAAGTAACTATCACCTTTACCCATGAGCTCTTTTGATATAATACTAATAGGATCCTTCAATTCTGCATCATCTTTTTCTTTGATAACCACAGTATCATCATCAGATAGAGCATCCTCATCAGATTCACTGGAAGATTCACCATCCCAGGAATCATCATCATCTGTATTTGGTCTTCTTCGTTTCTTCTTATCTGGTTTCTTTTCTTTTGGTGGTTCCTCCACCTCCTTCTTACTCTCCTTTTCACACTCACCTTCATCATCACTTTCTGACTTGTCATGTTTACCTTTATCTTTTTTGTCTGTATTTAACATTTTGTCCTGATCTTCTTTAAGCTTAATTTCATCCAATTGTTTGCCTAATTTGTCAACAAACTCTCTGAACGGTTTAACTGAGGGCTTCTCATACACATACGGTACTATAAATGAAGGTGCTTCAACTACAAACATGTCATCGGTCAACGAGGGCAATATATTGGCCTGGGGCACAGCGGTTGTATTATTTTTTGATGTGGAACCACTCTTGGCACTTACCGGTGTGATTGTGGTGCCCCGAGCTGCTATGCTTTGACATAAATTATGTGCATCAAAATTACTAGTTGATGATTTGTTTTGTACTGCTGTTGAACTTTTGCTAGAGATTATAGAGTTTGTGTCTATGATAACTACAGTGGGTTCCTTGTTTTCACCCTCATTTGATTTACTCTGTTTTGTTGTGAGGTCCACTAAACTTTTAGTATCACTTATAACTATTGGCTTGATCTTCTGTGCTTGATTGAGGGGATCCTCTGCAGACACTTCTTCAATGTCTGACTCCTCGGCCCCATTCTCTACAGCTTCATCATCTTTCTTCTTCTCTTCTTCCCCATCTTTAGTGCTTTGCTGGGATTCATCTGAACTATCATTGGAGTCTGTACTAGAACTTGATGAGTCGTCATCATTAGTCACTGCACAATCATCTTCATCACTAGTTATCTCATGAACCTCAGGACTTGGGGATCCACCATTGTGGCTCTGAGGTTCAATCTCGTTTTCTGATTCACTGCTATCATCTTTTGGTTGACTTCCTTGTGACGTATCATCATCTCCTTCTGTGCGATCATCTGCGAAACCAAAAACAATCAAGTTCATTTTCAAGCTTATACACGTAAGACGATAACGACGAACTTTCATTCGCAATTATTTTACTCAAAGATACTTGGCAGATTCAACATATACGCTAATATAAGCCTCTTCCAAACTATAAAGGTGTCATTGCCGGTACCACCAACATCGTTAGAAGAACTTAAAGATGTCAACTCCTGCCCTAAAAAAGGAGTTGAACAAGTAGGCCTTAACCTAAAACTTACGTTAGTGAAGTGTTGACCACTAATTGAAGTGAAATTAAAACTTAAAAAACAAAATTTTATTTCTCTAAATACTGACATTAAATCATGTGAAGTATGAACCGCCATATGGGATTCCATGGCATTGGTCCGAAAACATAATTCTATCATGTTTGACAAAAATTATTAGCTTATTTTGAAACAACTATTTAAATGCAAATATTATCTCATTGATTAAATACCTGTAGCTGTAGATATCGACATTATCTTGTGATTTTTGTATCAAAAATCAAAAAAATAGCACAATAGCACAGTAGCGGAAACCAAACCAAATCAAGCTGTCATTTTAAAAGGTTCTTTATATGTCATGTTCAGTCAAACGCCGAGACGCCGCCACAATATCTTGTGAAGTTAGAAATTGGCTAAACTACCATTTACTAATAAAAACAAACTAAATCATTAAAAGTCTATTTTCAAATTTTTAAATCTTCTTATTTGGTTATTTTATTTAATATGTACAATTTTTATTCGGAGCACTCTGATTCAAAATGGACACTATAAAGAGCCTTTCTTAAAAAAAAAAACGCGGGGAATGATGAGAAGTGAGAGCATGGAGGGGGAGACGCGATGTCGATAAAGGAGAGGCGTAGAAGCGCATTTTAAGAGTTAAAAAAAAAAACAAATACCTGTTATAACATCGGATGCTTTTATACGTTAATAACACCAAAATTCAAAAATATTATTTGAATTTTGCGTTATTTCTAACATATAAATTAGACGAAGTAAATATTTTATCTGTAATGTTATATAATTAATTTCGCCAATCATACCAAATCATACTTTGAGTCTAAAATATACTGAATAATAATAATAAGCAATTCTTTATAAGTAGTTTAACTAACCGCGTAACTGATGCCAAAGATTCAAATTAACGAAACAGAAATGAAACAAAATAATTAAATAACATTAAAGAACTCTTTCAAAATAACACTGCGCGTTTGCTAAGTATTGGTTTGTACATCTTTGATAAACAAAGATTTATAATAAATAATTAGTTTAGTGCCAAGATTTAAATACAGCACTTGGTTTTCAGTGCTCCTTAATTAAACGGGACAAGGCCAGTTTTGCCCCAATATCAAGAAAGCAGTACTACGAATGGGATTTTTTGCGCATTTCGTATGACAAAACTAAGAATATGGTAACATTGAGAAAGCTAGGCGCAAGTTCCGGATCCGGTTTCAACAAAAAAAAGCGGTTCCTAATTCTATCCATGAAAAGGAATAAGTCTAAAAGTATCTTTTTATCATAATAACTTGCACTACTTAATGAAACAATGGTCTATCTAGCTAAGTAATAACGAAAGTATCATGAACTTTCTTTTATAGACTGATGCGAAACATTGAAGCTTGGCACACATTCTCCTACCAGACCTCAACGGCGAACGCGAAATCACAAATGTTTCAAACATAGATAGCCCTGTATCCGAGTCCTAAAGCTTATACTATTTAAAAGTAAAACTTCATTTTAATGGTAAAACAATACTTTATTGTCATGAGGTTTTTGAATTATTTTAGCCTTATTTAAACCATAAATAAATGTTAAATCATACATGAAAATCAAAATAATAAATTTTTACGTAAACTTAAGATTAATCTTCATTTTCTTCTTCGCCCTGTTCATTTTCATTTAATGATTCAAGAACTACATTTTCATCTGGTTTCCTGATCAGTCCCATACTCTCGGCGGTATTAAGACATTTCTGTGCCAATTCTACAGTCTTCTTCACATCAGGATCTTCTAACTTTGTTAAAGCCATTAATATTTCCATGACATCAGTTTCGAAAATTCTGACAGCGATATCTTTATCGCCGGAGATAATGTTATATAACATATATGTGCCTCTATACTGGATTTCTTTATTTGGATTGGCCAGCAATACTCTAAGGCTCTCCAGCCAGGCTTGACAATCCAGTAACTTTCTACAGCAGTCTTTGCTAACAGACGTCAAAATGCACAACGCGCCTGCCGCCGCCATAACTGTGTCCATATCTTCCTCTTGACACAATAGATACAGAAATTTACATTTATCATTCTTGCCTTCATACGTTTTTATTACTTCTTCCGATTGCAGTAAGTTGCAAATGCACTGTGTTGCTGCTCTTTGCAACATTATATGCTCTTCAAACATGTATTGTTCTATCTTAGATAGTCCACCTTCCTTTAAGATTCTATTCCTCGTAGTCTCATTCATACCAGCTAAATTGCATAAAGCCATAAGTGCCTCAAAGTTCTCCAATGCAGTACAATCTGGATGTAGAAGTGCAATCAAAGGTCTTACCACTTCTAAATTTCTCTGACCAGGGTATGCTACTTCAGGGTTAATTGTAATTCCAATCCTTGCTAAAGCTTGGGCAGCTTGCTTTTTACCATTTTGGGTACCCTCTAAAGCCATAGGTATCAAAATTTTTGCTCCACCTTGTTGAACAACAATACCTCGTAATTCTTGGAGACTACATATAGCATTAAATACTCTCGCAATCAGTTCCTTAGAATTGTGACTTTCAGTTTTAGACAGAGCTACTAAAGCTGTGGTAACACCAGCCTTACAAAGCACAGTTAACCTTTTGTTAACAAAATCAGGGTCATCTAGTTCATGTTGCTCAGGTATATGATGCTTTGCAAATTTAGCAAGTTCCAACATTTCTGGCATCACCTCTTGCTTTTCGTAGGCATTGCACACATTGACCAATGTTGTAACAACACCATAAAGACAAGACTGGTCACCAGTCTTAGCTAATTCAATAAGTGCTTGTATGGCAGCTCTATCTTCCACTAATTTTTCTTTGACATCAGCATCCAAAGTGAGATATGAAAGGCCTTCTGCCGCCCATTTTCTCATGTCCTTTTCTTTAGCTGGATTGACCAAAAATTTCCTACAAGCTTCTGCAAGCTTTTTAGTAGAACCATCTGCAAATGGTCTGATTGAAGCATCATCACCACCAAAACTGCCTATCTTACAAAGACCAACCAGAGCTCTAACTCTTACTGCATCATTTTTGCTGGTATATAACTTTTTAAGAATTTCAACGCCTTTGTTGATAATAGCTCTAGCTTTATCTTTCTTAGATGCTGCAGCAATCAAACATTCACATGCTACTTTTTGTTGAAGTATGTCTTCAGTTTGAGCCATAACAAGGATCATCTCCATTATTCCTTCTTTAGAAATAACATAATTACCAACATCAAGTGGTCCTCGGAGAAGTGAGGTTATAGCAACTGTCACTCTCACTTTTGATTCAAGATCTGGAGTCAGGAGCTTATCTTTAACAAATTCATCAACTTGGTTATTAAATCTTTCTCTCGCTTCATCATAATACATGTTTTCATAAATCCTGGCGAGACAAGCTGCTGCAATAGTAGCTGATGAAGGGGTGATGTTCATTGCCGATTCATATCTATACTCTTCAAGTTCACTGCAGACTTCCAGCAGACGTTGGAGACCTCTGATCTCTACAAACCTTTCCGCCCAGTTTATTGCACTATAATGACAGTTTCTCATTATTAGTTCCATGATAGCATCCCGAGCCATACCAGTAATGACACGGTTAGTTATTGAATAAGTCAAACATGTAAGCAATGTGTCAATTTCAGATTTGTATTTTTCACATAACTGAGTGTCAGGTTTTGTTTCTTTCTTTGTATCCATACCGGAGAATGTGTTAAGTATACCTTGGAGACAGTACTGTGCAGCATTGACCCTCTCTTCAATATCACTGTCAATTATCTCTAAAAACCAAGGTATGCCAACTACTTTAATAACAGTTACTGTGCTCTCCACATTTTTTTTACATAACTGACCAATAACTCTTATTGCATTTATGTATATCTCTTGATTCTTCTCTACTTTTAGTAACTGTTGTATCTTTTGAACAACACCATTTTTAATCATAAAATCAGCGGCTGCTGTTTCTTTAGCAAGCACAACTAAGTTAGTCATTGCCTTCTGACGTTTATCTTTTTCCTCACTTATTTCAAATGCTAACTTAAACATTTGATCAACTTTACTACTTGTCTGTGCATTTTTTCTCACTCTTTCTTGAACAATAGCATGCAGGCGAGATAATACTGGCTGTATAGCTTTATTTGCTGGATCCACAGTAAATATGGTTTTTGCATCTCTATAAGCTTCTTCAAACCTTTCCTCACTTTCCAATGCTTGTGCACGCCGGAAAAGAGCTTTAGGATCTTCGGGTACAATTAGTAATGATTCATCACAGTCCTTTATAACCTTTTTGTACTCTTTTAACTTGAGATATGCAGCTGCACGATTTTTCAAATAAGTTGCTCTATCTCGGCTATCGTTTTCAGATAAATTAATCGCTTTAGTGTAAAGGGACACCGCGTCTTCGTATTTTTCAGATTTGAACGCTTCATTACCTTTATTCTTGTAAGTTTCGGCTTCTTCATTATTTATCCCCATCTTTTATCGAGAATGTGTTTATTAAGTTAGCACCGGTTCGGCTTTTATATACACGAAGAAGTTTCTGGCACACTGTAGTACATTCTATCTGTCTCTCACATATGGTTGAAAATAGAACATTTATTTTTACCTTGGTCTGTAAATGGATACTTGAAATAAAAACCTATAATACGATTACAGATTACAGCTGTCCAGCTGTCAGTTTAAGCGTGTTGCTGTCAGTGTCATAGAACCAGTTCCGTTCTGAACTACTCAATCTAATAATTCAAAATGCAAACCAAGATCCAGAGGATATGAAAAAGCTAACTCTTATTACATTTTCCATCTCTTATGGAGTCAATATTGTATATGTATAAAATTCAAGCAAAGTATAGTATGAAATGTGGGTTTACTCAATTTCCCTCGAAAAAGTTAAAGTTTTTGAACAAACTTCGTTCAAAAATTTTAAGCAGATATAAAAATAGTATTTTTACATTGACATTGTAAACTATTAAATCCATTGTTGTTTCGCTTATACAAATCTTATTTAAATCATTTACTTCCTTCAAAACACCATACCACATTTTTTACAGTTACATTATTTGTGCCAACACTGTGCTGTAAACTTGCTCCTCTCAAACTTTTTGGTTCATTGTCTTTGATTTTCATAAAAGTGTGACCTACGAGTTTGAGGTCTTTATTTTAAAATTTTGTGAATATAATAAATTATAATGGCTGCAATTAGCTTATTAAACCCTAAAGCCGAATTTGCGAGAGCAGCTCATGCTTTAGCTTTAAACATATCTGCTGCAAAAGGCATTCAAGATGTAATGAAAACTAACCTCGGCCCTAAAGGCACCATGAAAATGTGAGTAATTCTATCTTTTGTTATTTGATCAACAAACTAAATATGTTATTCTGTATTTTTCAAAGCTAGATTATTATTTAATATTGAAACCAAGTTATTTTTTTTGTTATAGTACAAAAAAAATGAATCTAAACATTCATGTGTTCCCATCACGCACTACCGGTTGTCACTGCAACCTTATATATGTTTAAAATACTAGATTTGTATTGACAAACAAAAATTAAACAGTAAAAATGATCTTATTCAAAAAACAATCTGCCTTAAGACATAAAATATATTTATTAAATAAACTTTATCAGCACTTTGAGCTGAGTGGCTAACATTTTTGTACATTCTTGTACTATTAATCTAATTTAATAAATAATAATAATTAATAAAATGTATTTCTTTATGCAGAAATTGTAGTTGACATAAAGTAAAAAGAAAACAGACATAAGCATGTATGGAACCTTTAGTAATTATTTAATATTTAGGCTTTAATTTATTAACATTCCTTTCAGGTTAGTGTCCGGTGCGGGTGATATAAAGATAACCAAGGACGGTAATGTATTGTTGCATGAGATGCAAATTCAGCATCCAACAGCGTCTCTCATTGCACGAGCATCAACAGCCCAGGATGATGCTACTGGAGATGGTACAACATCTACAGTATTACTTATCGGAGAGTTATTGAAGCAAGCTGAAATTTACATTAGTGAAGGTAAATTTTGTGTGTGAATGAACCCTGTTTATTTCTTTTTGTATGAGTTTGTGTCAATGAATTGAGAAACAATACAATTAAGTTATACACAACTAAAAAAATAATTATTAAAACATATATATTGGTAAATAACATACAAAGTTATAGAATTACTTGACAAAATATGTTTATTAGACATGTTTTTATTTAAATAAGTAGTTAAAAATTGCTTGTATATAGGATTGGAATGATATGTTTAGTTTATTTTTTTATTGCTGTTTTAAAACATGTTATGTATGTATGTTATGTAATATTTATAAATCTTTCCAGGTTTGCATCCTAGAATAATCACAGAAGGCTATGATTTAGCTCGCAACAAAGCATTAGAAGTTTTGGAATCAATGAAAATACCAATTGAAATTACCAGAGAGAGTTTGTTGGATGTTGCACGCACATCACTCAAAACTAAGGTGAGATTTTATCATGTTTTTTAATACTACAAATATATGGATATATAGATATCTATACAAATATTGGCATTTATTTCTAAATATATCCAAAATAGCTTTGTAGATTTCAATAAAAACTTTCACAGATGTAGAATATAGTCTGTAAGAATACAGGCTACTTACTAAGTTTTATTTTTAATCCTGCTTGGAATTTTAGATCCTTCAAATAGGATCAATTAATATACTATCCACAGTTAAATGTCTATTACGAATATCAAAATTTCATGCAAAAAAATGATCTATAATTAAATATTGCAATGTTTCAAGGTACATGCAAGTTTAGCAGATGTGCTGACAGATGCTTGTGTGGATGCAGTGTTGGCTATCAGAACAGCAGACAAGCCAGTAGACCTCCACATGATTGAGCTGATGCAAATGCAGCATAAGACTGCTACTGAAACTACACTGGTTAAAGGTAATGTTTTAAAATGTATTTTATTTGTAATAAAGAAAATTTAAAAATCATGGCAAAAAATAAGGTATTGAAAATCTTGTAGGGAAAGGAAAGTGATAAGAAAACCATATAATATAAAGTAATAAAAAAAAACACTAAAACCCTTACAAAGTATGTGAAGATTTGTTTGTTGCTGGCATACTGACATACACTCATAAAAAATGTAATTATTTAAACTACGAGCTGTTGCCCGCGACTTCGTCCGCGTGGTATTAGAAAACATACAAACTACATAAATTACAAAAAGCTATGTATCCCTCGGAAACCGGACATTTCTTGGGGAGGAAGCTTATCCCATATCTACTCCAGACTGTTTTATATCTGTGCCAAATTTCAATAGGATATGTTGAAACGTTGTATCATTCTGATCAAGTAGACATTAAAAAACTAAATTAAATAAATAAAGAAGCCTATGTGTTCTTCCAGATGTTGCTCTAAACCTGTGCCAAATTTCATGGAGATCCATTCAGCCGTTTAGGCTACAAACCCTAACAAACATCCATCCATCCATCTAAACTTTCACATTTATAATATTAGTAAGATTAAAATATTGCCTACATGTGTACAGTTTGAACTGAAAAGTTCGACTTTTCAGTTAGTACTACAGAAGCAAAACCAGCTAGAAATCTTTAGAAAATTCGGTAGAAATCTTTGCAAATTAAAACGCCTTAGCCTGTATACAGACACCGTACAAGTTCATATTCTGCACATCTATAGCAAATTTAGCATGTAATGGAAGATTGGTTCTTCTCTAGGTCTGGTGATGGACCACGGCGCCCGTCACCCCGATATGCCGAAGCGTGTTGAAAACGCATACATCCTCACATGCAATGTCTCTCTTGAGTATGAAAAGACAACTGTTAACTCCGGATTCTTCTATAAAAACGCAGAGGAGAGGGACAAGCTTGTTGCAGCTGAGAGAGATTTCATCGATCAGAGGGTTAAGAAGGTAAAAATGTTAAAACTTTTCTTCATTATCAAATATATCTTTTTTTCTACCATGTTGATTGTCTTATTTTCCATTCAGAATAGCTGTAAAACAATTTTGACCTGTAAAAAAAACTTTTACCAATCAAATATTTGTATTTAAATGTGCCAAATGTCTTACCTGATACTAAAAAATTAGTAAACCCTAGACTATTTCACATTTTGAAATGCTCTGTGATTAAAGATATATCTAAATTTAGATTATTTTAAATCTCTTAACTTGGATCTCTCTTCCAGATTATTGCTTTAAAGAAGAAGGTATGTGATGGCACTGACAAGACCTTTGTCGTCATTAACCAGAAGGGTATCGACCCTCTGTCATTGGATGCCTTCGCGAAGGAGGGCATGATCGCCCTCCGCAGAGCTAAACGGCGCAACATGGAGCGCCTCGCGTTAGCTTGTGGAGGCTCCGCTATGAACTCCGTAGATGACCTCTCGGAAAGCTGTCTCGGATATGCCGGACTGGTCTATGAACATATCCTTGGAGAAGAAAAGTACACTTTTGTTGAGGAATGCAAAAACCCCCAGTCGGTTACAATCCTCATCAAAGGACCTAACAAGCACACTCTTATTCAAATCAAAGACGCGGTACGAGATGGTCTTCGTGCAATTAACAATGCTATCGATGATAAAGCGGTAGTAGCAGGCGCTGGTACTTTTGAAATCAAAGCTAATTTGGAATTACAAAAGTACAAAGATACAGTAAAAGGCAAAGCGCGTCTTGGAATTCAAGCTTACGCTGAAGCATTATTAATTATACCTAAAATGCTTGCGGTGAACTCCGGTTACGATGCACAGGATACCATTGTTAAGTTGCAGGAGGAGTGCCGTCTTAGTCCGGATGCGATCGGTCTAGACTTGAGCACCGGTGAAGCGATTAAACCTTGCGATTTGGGTATTTTAGATAATTATATCGTAAAGAAGCAGATTCTCAACTCTTGCACTATTATCGCAAGTAACCTGCTACTTGTCGATGAAATTATGAGAGCCGGTATGAGTAGCCTCAAAGGTTGATTCTATATGATTTTTTTTAATTCACATTACCTTATATTACTTATATTTCATTTAATTTACTTTAGTAACAATGTAACAATAAGACTTGTGCATTTCATTTTCTTTATCTATGTAATAGCTTATGTGCCTACACAAAACTTTAATAAATTGCTTTAATAACAATTGGTTTTGTTTCTATTTTTCCCAAAGAACAATTACCCATAGCTTTATATTGTTATACTCCTAACCTAGGATCAGGTTTAGGATTGCTGGCGTTCTGGGCGAGATATACGTAAAAAAGCGCCCTGGGCGGTTGTCCCCACCCTAACGCTGCTATTGTTGATCAATCTTGATAATCAATATTAAAGAAGTCTTGTATATTTAGTTCTTGAATATAAGTAAAAGACAATTTTTTACATTTTCTTAGTTTATTCTCACAACATAAATGCATTTTGATTAAAATTACATTATTAGCGAAATATCATTTATACAATAAAGTTTGTATTTTATTAAATTAAAACAATATCACTTACTAATGTAATAACGGATTAAAAATGCAAAATAGTCACAATTTAAGACAATAGGAACAACTGTAAAGGTATAAAAATAGAAACGTAAAAAAAAAAGGTTCTCATTTTATAAAGTCCATTAAATATCTTCTAAAAAAAAAACAATAAAAACATATATTTAAATATTTTAAACACAAATTGGACAACTAAAAAGTCTTGTTTTAAATACAATTGGGATCAAATAATTCAGACCTTTTAGACTAATTATTTATAAAACGAGTTTATTCATTTTGTAAAAATTTACATGAAATAGATAGGGCGGAGTGAATAGTACATATATAGATTTTTATACATAAAAGATTTTAATTTTAAACACAAAGTGAACCACAATACAATTATGTATTTGAGTTTTTAACATAAATAATGGCAATAAAAATTAATAATCCTATGAACATTGCATTTTCATTAAAATAATTGTACTTATGTTTGTAAATACGGTAAAATTCGAGCAACATACATAGATCTGTAGCTTTATATATTAACTAGCTTTCATCCGCGTGGAATTAAAAAACAAAAGTAAGTAGCCTGTGTGTTCTTCCAGACTATGCTCTACTGCTGTGCCCAATTTCATCCAGATCCTTTCAGCCATTTAGGCTACAAACTCTAACAAACATCCATATAAACTTTCACATTTATGATATTAGAAAGACAACAATAAGGTGATTATTGAACAACAATTTCACACAATATAAAACCATAACCATTTTATTATAATTTCTTAAAAGAATGATAAACCAACCATAGCTTAGAATATTCGACTAGAAAACACAGAATATGTTTAAATTGAGAATGTCAAAGTTTACAACAGATTTTTAAATCCTTACAAAATCATTCACATTTTTCTGAGATTGTTGACATCGAAATTCCATTAATAAGACAAATCATACACAAAATTCTACCAACTGATATTACACCATACTATTAATTTATTTTTAATACAAGTATTTATAAAACATAAATCTACAGAAGACAACTTGATCCTTATTCTGGAAAATACTAAAATGTAATATACATTCCATTCAGTTCTTCTGTTTCTCAGCGATCGCGGCTCGTTCATTTACATCAATGATTGACAAGTTGATAGATCCCACAATGAGATGGACAATCGTAATGAAAGCCTTTACAACCGCCACTGGCATTGTCAGGAGAGCTAGCAACTTGAATAGTCCCACACCCAACACTAAAAACATTTATTTAATTATTGTATACTTTTAAATGCAAAATATTACAAAATATATAACTAGGAAAGTGATTAATTCAATAAATTAAAGTTATGAATTACCTTCTCTTAAAGGATAGAGGACTAGAAATTTCCCTAGATTATAAAACTACTCTACCTACCTTCCCTTTTCTATCCTTTCCTTTTTTAAAAAGTGAAGTACATTCAATTTTAATATCACATAGGATGTGCCAATTTAAAGAAGGGAGTGATGACTGAGATGACGGATGATAGAGTGCTTTGGAGGACGAAAACCCGGTGCGCCGACCCTACGGGAGTAGGATAAAGCAGGGGAGATGATAATATGATGTGCCAATTTGATATTAGTGACATTCTTCTTTTTTTATTGCACAATTTTGTATATTCCTGTGTTGTTTCTCTTTCTGTTTTATTGTCCATTCGCACAATATTATTGTTGTACAACATTTCTATTATTGTGGACCTATTATTGGCTATACAATTAACAATAATCACTATACTGACTTCGTAATAAATAGAAGTTAGTCCTACTTGAAAAATATATAAATATCTCACCTGTAGGTCCAGTATAGAAGTGCATTACATACAATAATGCATAAAATGCTTCATTTCCAGCGCACATCAGGAATAAGACAGTTTTGTTGGTATAGTAGACATGCATGATTGGATTCTCTGACATGTCAATAAACTTATGAGAAGTCTTCCCTTGCAGCATACAAGTGTGGAGGTAGAGCCAGTGGCCAGTTATATCAATGACCATAGACAACTGCAGCCAGAAAGTGTATCGAGGATAGAATGTTGCCAATGTCATCAAGAGGCCAGCTGTCCCCGCTCTATCAGTCAGCTGGTCCAAAATAGCTCCAAACTTAGTACCTGTTTACAAAAATATATTTTAACTTGTTGCAACATGAAGAGTATTTGAACACTACAAGAGGAAATCCCTTAGTGTTGATTTCAAATTTATTACTAAGAGACACATATTGGCCAGTTAACAACTATAAGTGCTATAGCTAAATTTTTAACTAAAGACTGAAAGAACAAACACATAATTTTGCTTTATAAAGTGATTTTTTAGAGTTCAAACAATTATAATTACTGTTAAATTATTTTAACTATTTAGTGCGGTCTTATTGGCGTCACCAAGTGGTGGTGAGGCTTTTTCCTCAGACCTAGCCTAAATAATTGCCTGGCAACGCCCACAACCATGACTCTCTTACCCAGCTTTAAATTATAGAGATTAACTCCAACACAATATAGTTTCGATTAATTTAATTAATGAAATACAACATATTCTACGTACTTTGATTGAGGTATCTGGCTGCATGACCATCGACCGCATCCAATAAAGCCGATGTAATATAGCAAATGCATGCCAAAACACAGTGTGTAGGCATATAATAAAATGCTATAATAGCAAGGAAGATACGCGCAAATCCTGAAATACATAACATAAGCAATGACGCAAGTATTTAAAAAATCGATAACACATACCGGGAGACGTACTTACCGATTATATTGGGAACGAAAAGAAAAATGTTTTCCTTAGTCTCGGCCATTATATCAGTGTTGTTTAACTTACTAAACAATGCAAATACGCTGAGAAACCTGTTAGTACCTTTATTCTGTAAAGTTCTTGAATGCGCAACAATAATTTCCGTGATATCAGCAGTGATACCAAACTAAACCAAAGTGACATTGACATTGGTTGACATTTTAGCAATATAGGAAAAAAAACTTCTACAGATCGAAATGTAAGTTTTTGTTTAATTCCTTTATATGTAATAATAAAAATATACTAGGTAACTCGAGGTATATGTTTCTTTTGTTATATTTTTTATTATATGAAATCTTTAAAAAATAATAATTCTATCTCAACACAGCAAAAACTATGGATCAATTGGACGTTACATTTAATAGACGTCCAAGCTACTGTGTTAATTTTGTAATTCTATTAAATACTATTAATTAATAATTACACGAAATATTACTATTACATAGTGTTTTTGCAAGTTCGTTTTTACTGTAATCAATTTAAAGAAGGTGTTGCTGGCTACTAAAATATTATTTTTAAACTGTTAAAAAGTAATGTTATGCCTTGGTTATGCCAGCAGAGGGCGCTCGGTCCGTACTAAAGTCACCATTATTCATAAAAATTGGAAAAATGTTAGATGGAATCTGTCGAAAATGAAGAATTCGGTTTTCCTGTTTCGTAGAACTTTAGATGTGTAGTAAATAAATTGATAAATCATAATGATTTAATTTTAAGGCAGTGAAACCGTAAAAATAGGTGGAGAGGGTGGTTTGAGTGTGCTAAAGTCATAAGACTTGTGTCATCTGTCTGATTGCTCTTCCTTCAAGATGGCTCCTCCACCGGAGTATGATAAGGAACCGAAAGCCCCAGATAAAACTGTCACAAATATTTCTACCGACGATTCGAAAGTTTTATACAGCCTAGTAAAAGAACATCAAAATAATTCGGACCATAAGCCTTCCAACGCCGCTTCTAATGCTGATATCGAGGTAAGTCGACCCCCTTCTGCCATTTTATATATTTGTTAGGCTGTAATAAGTTCCCCGGGAGTTTATTATCAACTTTGTGAATTTTAATGTTACAACAAACTATCTAGTTTGTTAATTACACAATTTAAAGTTTGTCTATTTAGTGAATTCGCTAAAATAACTCGGGTGAAAATGGCGAAGGATAAATGTCATTTTTGCATTTGTTCTTATACCTACAACGTTGATGTATAGACATCATATATTTTCATTATTCATTATCATGCACACATGTGAATTAATGTCGAAATTCGTTGTGAAATTAATTTTGTAAATATTTTTATGGTTAAAATATATCACAGAAACGTAAGGAAAATACAGTATTTGCTTAAATTGAGGCAGGTAAAAAGAGCAAATGCTATTGGATATTTTGATATCTTAATCAATTACAAATTAAAAAAAACAATGAAGTGATTTCCAAGAAATTTGCATCTGAGAAGTAGTACTAAAGTAATAACTGTTTTTTTTGCGTGTTCAAAACACTAAACGTATTTATAATTTAAATATATGAAAAACATAAACAAATACATACATTATTTACAGAAAATATGTATATTGATTAATATATTTCTGTACTAAATTTCATCCAGATCTGTTTATCCATTCTGGAGTTACATACAACAAATATCCATACATCCATCCAACATTCTGCATTTTTAATACTAGTAAGAATATTTTGTTTTTAAATTAAAATTGCAGTAATTGAAGGTATAACTTTTTTCACTTCTGGTGAGAAAAATGTATTTTTTCATTATTCTTCTAGTAAATAGTTAATACTATTGAGTAAGTGATTAATTTTAATGTAGGTAGGATGATAGTAGTGTTACCTGCTTACTAAAAAAACCCTCATCATTAATCTCTATACATGGAGGGGCTATAAAATGTGGTTTTTGTGCCTATTTGATTTTGCCCATTCTACACATTGATCTATGTAAGAAAAGAAGAAAAAATATCTAATATACCAGTGCTTTTGCTGAAACACATGTCATCCTTGTCATTTTCCTTGGAAAAACAGAGATAGTCATCTGTTGGTAGCTGTGCACAAATGTTAAAAACATTAACAAAATTTATCCACAACAGTTATAAAAAACTTTTTCTTATCTAAACTTGTTTTGTCATTCACATTATCAATAACAAGAGTTGTAAATAGTTAAACTCATTAGTGACAATGATAAAATATAGATAATTGATATTTTCTTTTATTTTTAACTGAACCTATGCCAAAGTAAAAATTTTGTCAAAGTAAATAATAAAATTGTCAATATTAGTGAACATACAAAAAACTAAATTAGTCCAATGGACATTTCAGTCATTCATTCTATTTCTTAGAATTTTTAGGATTAAAGTAATGTCCATTACAACAAAAACAGTGGTGTAATAATTGAAAAATAAATGATGTTTTAGTTATGATATGCGAAGGAAGGTTCATCAGTTTTTAACATATTAAATACATCTTTACGATAATTTATTGCATTTACATGTTTACTGTCCTTGGTCTATACATTCTACATCTTATCGGGTGGTCTTAGGAGTTTCTATAAATATAAAAATTTTATGTGATACTACATTGTCTTATTTCTTTCTTCCTTATGTTGGACCAAAAGTATAGAATCATTAATTTTTTTTAATTAGCATTTAGTTTTGAGGTCAGAGCTTGTTTATAATTTTCTCGGAATCCTCTACAACTGGGTCAGCAATGTGCTGATTTATAATTATTTATGTAACAAAGTTCTTTATAATGCATAGTATACAAATAAACATTCCAAGATATTTTGTGATTTATACTATTTATGTTTTTATTTACAATCAAAATTTTGTTGTTTTGCAAAGAAATATAGGTATATGAGTATGGATATGCAATATTTATGTATTAACTAGGTTTTGCCCATGACTCATATTCCGCGTAGAATAAAAAAAATAAAGTAAGTAGCCTATATGTTCTTCCAGATACATCTATACAACTATACATCTTTACATCTATACAAAATTTAATTAAAAATCCGTTCAGCCATTTGGGCTACAAACTCTAACAAACATCCATCCATCTATCTAAACTTTCGCATTTATAATATTAGTATGTAGTATGATAGATGCATGCAATTTATAATGCAAGAATTAACAAAAGAGATAACTTGCTATAGTATTAATCTTATTTTGACTCTGAAATTCAAAATTTCCGGCAGTTTTAAAGGATTTCGCCTAAATACAGTGATTTTTCTAAGATTCGAAATACAATTAAACCAACTCTTAATATGTCAAGGGTAAAATAGTTTTGATTATGCCCAAAACAATGTAATGTTATCTTACTTCTTAGTAATATAATAAATGCGAAAGTTAAGATGGATGGATGGTTGTTTGTTAGAGATTGTAGTCTAAAAGGCTGAACGAATCTTGATGAAATTTGGCATAGATGTAGAGGATAGTCTAGAAGAACACATAGGCTATTTACTTTTGTATTTTTATAATTCCACGGACGGAGTCGCGATCGAAAACTAGTAATGTCATATTCAAGTAACTATCAATTTGTTGGTAGCAAGGAGTTAAGTTTGAGTTCTCAGGTAAACGAAATCTGTCGAAATTCCAACGCCGGCGAATAGTGAGAGACGAATTGTCTAAAACACAAAGCGTAACCGAAACAATATTTGTACCGTTGCTGCTAGCATAAAAGTTTTTAGACAAGACTAACGGTCTGCTAGCGCACATAGCGAAATGTTAAATGCATTTTATAGTTAAAAAAAACACTCGCGTGCCTGTTAGACATAGCCTATTCGATTTTAACAGGGCCTTTCATATAGATCCAATCTCTTTAATTCAATTAAAATCCTGGATTAACAAGGTTATGAGTATCGATGCGGATTAAATGTGGTAAAAACGAAGGATGACAAATATATTGCTAACTGTTGCCCGCGACTTCGTTCACCCGATATTAAGATAAAAAAGTAGCTTATAATATTCCTGTCTGTGTCGGCTACCCTTCAGTGAAAGTTCTGTCGAAGCCGGCCAAGCCGTTTCGGAGATTGCCCGGAACAAACGCGGCTAGCGGACAGACAGACAAAACAATTTTTAATAAAGCAACGCAAATACATCATCTTCCCGAAATCTGGAATTTTTCTTTTGATATTACAGACACTGCAATTTTATTATATGTATAGATATCAACCTGGGTATATCGTCTTTAGTACCTATATCGTATCGAAGTCAAGTCTTTGTAGATTAGTCTAGTCTAGGCTAGTAAGGGTAGGGACAATGGCGCCGTTGTCGGTCGGTGTTGGCTTTCGTGCCGTGAGACGACGGTAACGGAAGCCGCCGCGGCCGCATAGTGACCGCATCGCGGATAGGGTTGCCTACGATACTAATAATTATTTACCGTATATTTTTACTATCTGAACTCGACACATGTCGCAATACTATGTAGAGTAAAGGAAAATCATTGAAAACTATGAGTACTATGGGTTTTTTGAGTCGACAGAAAAGCAAAACTACTTCGACCTTGAGCAATGGTTTAAGAGTAAACATACTATAATTTATTTTAATTTATATTCGTTTTATCTATATTTTCTGTACAAAGGTAAATTTAATATTGCATTAAAATTACATTATGTTTGAAATAAAAATATGTTTTGGTAACCCTAGAGTTTAGTCACGGTGCAACGCTCTGAGGTTTTGTTACTCTGTCTCAACACTTTTCACATTTCGGCTGTTTATATTGTAATCATTAATTATATTGTAACTAATAATAAGAATTGTGTAATATACTCTGTCCTGTGGTTTCCATCGACCTTACACGTGTATCTATACTTCTATACTAATATTATAAAGAGGAAAGATTTGTATTTTTGTATGTATTGAAATAACTCAAAAATTTCTGGGCCGATTTTAAAAATTCTTTCACCGTTAGAAAGGTAATCTGTGAGTAACATAGGCTATTTTTTTTTAATTCACGCGGGCGAAGTCGCGTGCAGCAGCTAGTATGATATGAATGTAATGTGTTGCTTCCGGGTTTATAATAAACTAGTTTTCGCCCGCAACTCCATTCTTGTGGAATTAAAAAAATAAGGAGCCTATGAGAGTCCTTCTAGACTGCTGTACATTTATGCCAATATTTCACCGAAATCCGTTCAGCCGTTGAGGCGATAAATTAGC